CAACGCCGCGCGCCGCGCAAACACTTTTCCGCAAATCTCGCATTTGAAGCTCTTCTCGCCGGTGTGCATGGTCGAATGGATCTTCAGGTCCACCCGCGTGAGGAATCCCTTGCCGCAGACCTCGCACAGGTATGGCTTCTCGCCCGTGTGAATGCGGAGGTGGGTGTTCAAGTAACTCTTGCTGACGAACATCTTATTGCACACCTTGCACGGGTACTGGCGATTGTCCGTGCCGGAGTGGATCTTCTGGTGGCTCTTGCACAGGCCCTTGGTGATGAAGCCGCGACCGCAGATCTCGCATATGTACGGCTTCACGCCGCGGTGACGATTTTCGTGGTCCAACAGTGACTGCTTCGTCTTGAAGTTCTGGCCGCAAGTGTCGCACGGATATGGCTTCACGTCCGAGTGTACTCTTTGGTGCACGATAAGATAGCTCTTGCACTGGAAACCCTTGCCGCACGTGGAGCAGTTGTAATCGTACTGACCTGTGTGCGTGGCCATGTGTTGCGCGAGGCCGATCTTGCTGCGGAACGCCTTGTCGCACGTCGTACACTGGAATGGCTTCTCGCCCGTGTGCTTACGCATGTGCTCTTGCAGCTTGTAATTTGTCCTGTACTGCTTGCCGCATTCGGTGCACACCTTGGCAGTCCACTTTCGCCTCACCGGTGCTTGCTTTTTCTGCTCCTCTTGATTGTCGTTGCTCTCTTGCGACGGTATTCCTACGTCTAATTGTGCGTCCTTCTTCTTATCGACTACTTTGTTTTTATACACATCGCAATGTTCCTTGTGTAAATTTAATACTTCGACACTAGTAAAGTATAAGTCGCAGGGGCAGCAACAAAAGTGTTGCTCGAAGTGTGCTGCCATATTGGTCGTATCCATAGCAGCTTCATTGCAGAACGGACACACGTACCAGTGTTGACCAGTCTCGTCTGCAGTAGGGTTGTTGATAACGGATTCTAACAACGAGTGCTTTGTTCTCTTTGTGTATTTAACCATAATCTCGCATGGTACGCCATTAATCTGACTCGTGGATGGTAAACTTACAGAATCTACATGCTCGCGAGCTCCAGTTTCATTCATACAAGATTCTTCTATTTCACTTTCCGCGTCGGTCTGAGAGGGGACAAAATTGTCTGCTGATACCTGAATTACAAATCTAAATTATTACCGGAATTTACAAATATTAGATATAAATATTAATATTATTAAGTTTAATCATTAATCACTAATATTACAAATTAAAATAAGATTAATACAAATAAAATTTGCTTAAATATTATTTATGCAATTTTTATTTTTATGTCTATAAATCTCTATATTTTTGTTTCTGATATTTTTAATTTTTTTTTATAAATTATATAGAATAATATACTCACATTATTTTCAAGTACATGTTGTTGCTCGTCTGTGGTTAATCCTTCTTGTAATCTATGATGATCTATGATTTTATATTCCTGCTTTATTTGTTCTGCTTCATATTTTACGTTTTCACAATAATGTACTATCTGCTCTTGGCTCTGATCCTCGTGACTGATAGAAGTAACATAATTTATGCCTAACTGACTTAAATGGCCATCCAAGTTTTCAACTACTGTCATATCACCTTCTAAGTGCATTGCAATTTGATGGTTTGAAACCTAGAAAACAATTCACAGTTCCACCATTCAAAATTTACAAACTGAAAGTTGTAATGATTAATTGCATATTGAATTATTATATTATTGAATTTTTCTTATTTATCATGTTACAAGTTCAGCCTTTTTTAATTGCAAAAATATTTTATCACATATAAATGTACAAAAGTGATTTAATCAGTAAAATAATGCAATAATGATCTAAATATTAAAAAACGCATACACAAGCTACTAAATTTGTTATAACAAAAATAGACTGGCTCAATTACTTCTCGCATATGTTCATCCACTATTCTCACAGTATCACCATCTAAACAACCAATGCCCGTAACTTGGATATCTGTATCTTGTTGACCAATTTCTTCCTGGGAAACTACTTGCTCGCCACCAGCTAAGTCCATTTCATCCATTACTTGCATTGTATGTATAGATTCTGCAGTCTCATGAGCTACAGCCGAATGACTTTGTATATCTTCATTATTCATCTGTATGTTGTTCAGGTTTCTTTGAATTGCGCCTATATTATTCACAGTTGCCAAGTCATGCTCTGATATATGCACGACTCCTTCTTTGCCAATTTCTTTCAACATTTCCATAAACATTCCTTCTGTATGTAAACATTTTTCACGAAAATCGTATACTTGATCCAGTTTGAATGCACACTCTTGGCAGACTACTTTGGGCAGTTGATCTGTCAGCGACACCTGTAATTTATAAAATTATAATACAATTTATCTAATAAACATTATTCAGTCTGTCATTAGCATTCCAGTTTTGTCTCTAATTGAACAAGCGTTATTAGCATTCCAGTTTTGTCTCCAATTAAAATAACAATATTTAAATTTGTGAGAATTTTATGTACATTCTTGAAATATATTTACATCGATATTTATTAATGCTGATTCTAACTAAATATTTTTTAATTATTTATAAGTTTTAATTTATAAAGACTAATTGAAATTAAACATTCAATGTTGCAGCAAAAAAATGCTAAACTGTTAATGTAAGTGAAAATAATGTAAAATAAAAGCCTGGAAAAGATGAAAAATTGCTAAGCAAAAGTAAATGTGTATTTATATCCCAATAAGAGCAGAGACATTTAAAAATACTCAGACATCGTCAACGCGATGCTACGATCGTTCATTGCGTTGCATTTTTACCTGAACCGGTAGACAAGCTGCTATTTTCTTATCGATGCTGCGCATCTGATTGCCGGCCTCGAAAATTGGCAAACCCATCAAGATGCCAGTTTTGGTCGCGCACAGACGGCACAAGTACTCGAACTCCTCGACGATAGCCATATCGACAGAACCGATATATTCCTCGTCTCCTCCAAACGCAGATTGTCTAAATCTCGACACGATGGTAGGATTATCTCAAAGAATGCGACGACAATCGTGATTCGACGCTGCTCTTGCAACATGCATCCCTTTACGACGTCAACGATAGCGTCTCGCGGAGCATCGTTTTAGAGCTGGTGAGTCCCGCGACAACGCATCGTTCAAGATATTTGTCAATCTCCACCATACCGTCAAGAGGCTGTCGCGGAGCACTCGTAGGAGAGCGGTGGGGAGAATCACTCTGCATTACATCATGGACGAATCACTTGACGGAGCTGTTTTCTACAGAACGATGCGATGTTAGCAACCAAGGATGTGCGAATAACCTGGCAAGACAAGACAAATCAAATAAAAAAATTGCTTACATGCATTTTAAAAATTTTTATAAATTTTAAGCGCGTTATTTCTCGTGAGATCTGCTCGCCTAATACCGAGCCGGCTTATCGGCAGAGTACGCTTCCTTAGATTTTCAGATTGAATAACCTCTTGTTGAACCCCATATATTCTTCATACTGCACCGGCCAATCAACAGAACGAATTGAGTAATGAAGAATTCATAGTGAATCCAATATCCGATGTACAACATCTTATATCCAATAAAAAAATTATTTTTTATGGACAATTTGGCGTTAGATAAAGTTTCTAGAAACTACGTTTTTTTATTGGATGTTGATCTCATACATTAGGTAATGTGAATCCTTCATAAGGGTATATTTCACAAATCACATAACTTCATGATGCATTTATAAGAAAATCGACCCATTACATTATCTCTTATAAATTTTAAACTTTCTGTAGGCCTATGATTGGTCCATAATAAAATGTTGGGGTAATTAATGCTACACTAACCAATTAAAAGAACCCGCCATACCTGAAAATTTCAAACAAGTAATTTATTCTTCGAATTCTCGCAAACATGTTTCTCGCGGTAGAAATTGTTCGTTATTTCGCGGAAAAAAACAAGTAATATTTACATTAATTTAATAGCATTTATGTTAATTATATGTGTCTACTATTTTTTCAGCACATACTTTATCCTTTCTTGAACCAGTCATTTGTGGATGCATATTTTCCGTATGCATTCGTCAATCGTGAACGAGTGAAGTTCTTTTAAAAGCCGACATCGTTCAGTTAAATCACTCTTGGAAGTTCGGATAGATTTGCACAAGTGTTGTTATATATGTTCTAGCATGATCTACGCAGTGTTACGCAGTAGCATATGTTATTTGCGTCCAGCGTTGAGTGGCATTGAGTGTTTGTGAGTGCATGCTGTGTGTACCGGTGAATAAAATTAGGTTAGGTTAACTTAACATTCGATTACAATTTGTAAATACGATGGAGGTACAAAACGCACCGCCTGTTAAAAGCAACAATCCCGCTCCGACGGTGGAACAGATCAATGCGGACAGAATTACCCAGGTTAATTTTCTTTATTATTATTTTACTAAAATTTATATTCCTAATTTTGTAATTAGGCAAATTTTTATTGATTTTTGTCATTGTACTTTGTGGCTACATCATGATATTCTATTTTGCAGCTTGCAAATAAGTACTGGGCTCCACACACTACAAATTCACATCTACCATTTAACCCCAAAGTAGTGGAAGATATTTATGTGCAAGAAATATGTGCGTCCAAATTCTCCATTCGGAGAATCATGATGTTGGAGTTTAGTCAGTACCTGGAAAATTTTCTCTGGCCAAATTACGATGCAGAGGATGCTACACGAGCACACACTATGTCTATTGTTGTCATGGTGAACGAGAAGTTCAGAGAGAGGGTACAGGTTTGGGAGGCGTTTGAGAAGAATTCAACGCATTTTGCGGGATTTGTCCAAAAGGTTCTCGAAGCGTGTTTGGAAGATAGCATAATGGATTTTGAGCTAAAGGAACAAACAGCTTTGATAGTATTCTTGAATCACTGTTTTAACTCTATGGAAGTAATCCTAGTTAGAGAGGAGGTTAAGAGATTGGTGTCTCTTGCTATGTGGTTCTCTTTGCAACAAGGTAGAAGAGAACTTGAATTCAAAAGGAATCCAATACTGAAGAAATACTGGAGAATTATAAGGAAAAGGGATAATTCTGTTTCTCCAGAACAAAAGAAGAAACTTGACTGGGAACGTAGATTTTTGCATAAGCTCATGATCAAATTTATGACAATATTAGAAACAGTTTCTGCAGAAGGTATATATTTTTATATATTATCTAATTAAATTATATTTATATTCTTTTAAAAAGATGTACAATTTCTTTATAGGTTTTTTAATAATCTTATTAATTTATATCTTTAATAAAGCCAGGAATTTTAATTGAACATTGACATGAATTTTCAACATGTGCTATAATTTTGTTTATATGAAAAATATATTCTGGAATGTCTTAATAGATTTTATATTTTGTAATATTAATATGATATAACACAAATCTATAGAAAAAGTATTTGATATGTGATAAAAGAAACAAATTATAATATGCAAAATAAGACTAATAATTGATTTGTTCTTTTTAAGCATATATCTTTACTGATAACAGCAAAAATATGACTTATATACATTTTACAATACGCTTTTCTAATTTATTGTAACTAAGATGACTAGATTTTATATTTTTAATAAAACCAGCAATTTTAACAAATCTTAAAAGAAAGTAATGCTAAGAACTTAAGATTTTACTTCATATTCAAGTATGAATATGTATTTTTATGTGTTTATTTTTGATAGAATTTGTAATTTTGGACAAAGTGACTATGAATATATTCTTGTATTTGCGTATTCTTGACAGGACTTGTACTTCCGGATAAAGTACGCTACTGTGAAAGATTTTTGGAGCTGGTCATCGATCTCGAGGCTCTACTTCCTACTAGACGTTACTTCACCACCGTCATGGATGATAATCATCTAGTCGTACGTTGCCAATTATCCAATCTACTGCATCGTCCAGAAGGAAGTTTATTCGGACAGGTAAGTCTTCACAAAATTAATATTACACGGATAGCACATGCTATAATTTAATTAGTTATTTCAATTTTATTTATCGACTGTCTTGTACAAAAATTGGATCACTCTACACATAAATATAAATACTACATAAGTATCATTAAAAAATCAGACCATCAGGGATTGATGTATTTAACTATATTGTGCAACTCATTTGCATAACAAACTTTGTTAATTAGTAATTGAATAGTATTATTGATATTGCACAATATAATTGACTTTTTATATTTAGAAATCAGTACATTTATGGTGAGATGATGTGCTAGAAACATCGATAGATGCTAGATGTCAAAATTGTGAAATGACTTGTGAATTGTGAAATTGATGTCTAAGTAAGCGTACATTTTTATAAGGCAAGAGATTAATTTTGATTTGAGGCACATACAATCGGCAAGTTTGACATATTGATATATTAAAGGCACACGTAATTTTTCCAATGTGCCATAATTCGTTTATCAACAATCTTAATCGATATGTATCTCGTATATTTCATATATAACTTTTAAAAATTTTTTTAATTTATAATATCTTTTATCAGTCAAATTTATCTGCTTTTCCGACTCGTATTGAATTTACACATTGGCTTGATTATTACAATATTATTTACAATATTGCCACATTTCTCTCTCCAATTATTGTCTCGAATGTATACATATCTTTTTTTACATATCTTGCACGTTTTGCGTTTGCTTAATGCTATTACACGCATAATACTGTTTCCCGGTGAAGTAAAAAACATATCCATTGATCACACTCTACAAAGAATATCTTTTGGTTTCAATGTATATACCTATATATATTTGCTAAAATCTGCACGCGAGAAATATATGCTTTTATGAGCTATGACTTTGAGATGAATCATGGAAACAAGTGTGTTGAATCCAATCGATATGAAGAATCATATTCTCGATTTGACTGTGAATGCACGCACATACGAGCACATGCTTGTATTTGCTTTTAGCATGGAATGTTTATCGTTCCACTCTACTCTTTATGGCTGTGTGCGCGGTATTTGTACTCGTGACTTAAACGCGTCATCGATTTGCATACAGATCGTACTCGCGACATAGAACGATCGTATTGTGAATTGTTCGTGAGTGACAAACAATGCGTTAATAACCCGCGTTAATGGCAGTCATCTCCTCGCCCCAGTCAAGGCCCTCGGTGTTGTCGCCAACGTCACAACAGTTGCATGTTTTGCTGAGCAGAAACGTGACTCTACGCTGGCCCAACACGCACACATAGAGTACCATCAGCGCTTGCAAGAGATTGACGACGATGTTGCAGTACTCGAAAGCCTTGTACTTGAACTGCGACAACATCAGCGAGAACCAACCAGCGCTCAAGATCACGTAGAGCAAGACGAACATGCGGAAGCTGTACTTCATCTTGTGGTGAATTCGGCCGTACGTGTTTATCCTCTTGATTCTGTTTGCGGTCGTCAGTATCAGACATAGGTCGATTATAACGGCGAAACCGATGCACGTGAACATCACGGACATCCCGAGCAAACCGACGGTCTCCTGAGCGGGGTACATCGGGCCGGCGACAGTGTGCTTGTCCGTCTCAAGAACGAAGTGCGCGAAGAACGCGGTGCCGGCGAGGCAGATTGTCAGACCCCACACCCACGACGAGTAGTAGCAGTACTTCCTGCCGTCGGTCACTCGCAGAAAAACGTTGCGCGACTTAAACGCGTTCCACACGTAGTAGCCCAGCGCGCTGAGCCACATGAAGATCGCCATCAGGGAAACGTATATGACCGTGTCTGGAAAAAGAGAAAAAACGAAAATGAATGCAGCGTTACTTCCTGCTTTGCAGCGTGAAACGCTTCGGCGATCCGTTTCTCAGAGGCCGTTCAAGTGCTCGCGCTTATTAATCGGTTCTTTCATCGCGAACGCGCTAAGATCATTGAATGACTCACGCATCTCTGCGCGACGCTCAACTTCGCGTATCTTACAAATAGGAGCTAATGGGCTTAGAATGAAAAGGATGTGACCGCAAATTTCACTGTCTCGATGCTTAATGCTATGAGAGAAGATGGTCAATGATAATTCTCTAAAGCGGTATTCAGTATTGTTACATTAACTGTTCGCAATTTTTTGAATAAATCCGAATTATTGGCACATTCTTTTGCAGAAAATTTGATGGAATCAGATGCATCCAATTTTCAATCTTGACTCTCAGAAATTTATCTTTAAAAAAATAAAGATAAAAAATGATTTCGCCAAAATTCTTCTAATATCAAATCGTCGAAATGAACAGAAGACAGGATGCATCATCAAAAAGTTTCTTATTGAAACGATGACATTAGATACGCTTCGACACGGTCTATTTGCCACAGGAAATCTCTTCCGATAATCACTTGCATCCGTTAAGGACGTCTTGAAGACTCGCGCCGCGTGATTCAATCTCTCTCGGGATAAATAACACGTGTCAAGTGAGAACCACGTACCGGCGATAATGAAGCTGATATGACTGCCAAATTCGGTGAATATTCTGACGGTGGAGGCGCACTGGTTGACCACGAGGCAGAGCATCATGCTGGTGATGATGTTGCCGACGAGATCGCGCAGCTGCGGCAGCACGAAGTAGATGACCGCGACGATGAGGTAGCAGGCCATCGATACGGCGTGGAAAGCGGGATCGATTGCGTGCTGCATCAAGTAGTCGGTGTCGGTCCAGTGTACGGCATTGTTTCGCACGCACACCACGGCGTACGTCCCCACCTGGCTATTGTTGCTGTGCATTGCCTGGTCGGCGCAGTAATGCCCAAACGGATAATCGGCGTGCAATCGTTGTACATTCGGATACTCTTTAACGTGGTCGTCCTCGTCAAACACGGCATCGCTGTTATCCTCTGACGCGGTGCACTTGGCATAGTGACGCAGCATGCCGTTCGACAGGAACAACAAGCAGTCCAGCCTATACGAGCCAGGATAATCATACACAGTCCACTCGTGCTCGTTCGGTTTGCACCTCGGTCGTCCGACTTTCAGCTCGTAATCTACTTTGCTCGCTTTATTCGCCTGTTTCACGAACTCCGGCTGCCACTTGGTCTTATTGACTTCCGTCAACGGTATGCAACGTTCGTTCACCAGCATCTCCTCGAGCTCGCAGCACTTACTGATGTTCACGGTCGGCTTTACGTGCTGACTCAACGCAACGGCGAGTGTGCTCTCGGCGATCCAATCGACGGCGAGCAACAGCAACACGCTTCTCGCACACATGACGCTGGAAACGCGCACGGATCTTCCTCTTACGTTCGCATTCGCACTGATCGTTTCTTCGCCTCTCGATTGTCGAAGCGGAAAGGAATTCTGCTGTCGCAGCTGCGTGTTTGCACGATCGATCGTTTCTCGAAGCGTCCGAAGCGTGATTCACTCAGTTCATCACCATGCCATACCTGGCTCCGGTCTGTCCTAGCGGCCACACAATGCCTCCTCTCGCGTTCGCTAGCTACCTCTCCCCTACCAGACTTCGCCGCCATCACATTCCCATCCCCTACCGCGCATCGGGCTCCCCCCTCACTCTCTTGCATCCCTCGACGACCACGGGTGAATATACCTTCGCTTTCATAGCTGCAGTGGCTCTGAACACACAACGGCGGGCGCCGGCATTGCGCTCGGATGCATCTCCGCGCTCCGCTTTCTGCTACGTTTCATTTTTGTTGATGCATTCTTGTCTCTTAATTGTTTGTGCAAAGGATAAAATAAATTTTAAAAAACTTAAAATAGTGTGAAATATATTGAATATATCTTAGTGTTTAGATAATGCAATTTTTTATGCAATTTAATAGTTGAAGATAACCGAAATAAGTAATTAAAGCACTCTGCATCTCAGTGCATAAGAGTCGAACGAATATTTCTTTTCAATATCTGAATCTCAATGTAAGAATATTGAAATAAATGAGATACTTTTTTATGCAATTTAATAGTTGAAAACATTCAAGATAAGTAATTAAAGTACTCTGCGTCAATGATTAAGAGTCAAATGGATATTTTTTTATAACTGCATCGAATATCAATGTGGGACTGTTGAGATAAATGAAATGCTCTTTTATGCAACTTAATAAGATATTACTCTGCGTCGAAGCTTTGAGAGTTGAACGTATATCATTTATTACCAATGAGACAATATTTAATTTGATGAAACCTCTCTGGTGAAATGTCAAAGGATTATCAATGTACGATAACGGTATCAATGAGTGAATGACATGGGAACTAAATTATCAGACTTATTAAGAACGTGATTTATTTTTTCTTTTCTTACTAACGTCAAAACCGTATAATTTTTTTAATCACTCCGATATTTCTTTTGTCGTGCAACATTGATAACTTCTTTGAAATTATTAAAAGTGTTTTTTTTTCTCTAAACGCGACAGTTCTATCTCGCGAAATTATCCTTATCAAAATTGCCATTATTTTTCGACCTCTAATATTATTACGTGCGTAATCGCAAAGACGATCCCCCCCCGCACGTGACACACCGTCAATCTTATCCACCGGATTGTCACAACTCGAAATGATTAGACAAAACAATTACGAAAGTGGCGTGATATTTTTTGCCGAAATTTCGTCGTGAATATTACTATACATAACAAGAAAAGTTCGTGGTATTGGCGTGGTATTTACGTCAACATAGTTGTGTTCTCTAAACTTATTATTTTTTTTTTGTTCTGTCTTTTTGTTACTTATTCTTCGATAAACGAACCTCATTGTGAACTTTAGACATCCAACGGCACACGTAAACACGTTGTACAATTTGCTTATTTCGTCACGTATTTAGAGAAAACAATTCAATAAGGGCTGCATGACAGACAGTTTCGCTGTCATGTATATTCAGATTTGAAAATCAAGGGAAAAAATATTTTCGAGTTCCCACGAGATTTGCGTTGATATGCTACAAATTAAACATGTCTTATTTATCATGCAAATAAAATAGAGAAAAATTTTTAACATTTATTATTCTTTTGAACTTGAAACATACGTAAGAAACGTTTTTGTATATCTGATTTTACTCTCATCATTTAAAAAATGATGGGCTTAATAATGAGTCTTCTGAAAGTTAGATCGAGTCTTGGGTTTCGTCCCACATCATTAGACACCGGTAACTCGCTTTCCCTCTTCTCCTTAGTATACTCTTGTTACAGGACGTGTGCTAAGCATGAATCGCGAGCTGCTCTATTTACGCTCGCAATGCATCATATATGATAGCCGCACATTACTTCTTTTGAGCACTCGAGTCACTAGAGCTTGTATATTCAGTGACAGTATATTTTTGATATTTTTTGCACAGTTTAAATTCGTCGCTCCTTGAGCAAGAATAATATAACCCTTGTTGCAAATAAATAAATTGTGAATCCTTTTATTGCAATTTTCTTCTTTATTGAAGATACATTTAAAGCGTGCAAAAATCATCGCGTTATCTTCTTCTGCCGCTTTCAATCTGTTTACGGTATATTTCATTAGCGCAGCTGTACTAAAGCTTAGCAATTAAGTTCCGGGATTATCATGGATTCATTTTTAAATCTTTAATGTGTTATTATGCTTACCAGTTATGACAGTACACATCGCCAGATGTGTGGACAGATAATATATGCATATTGGCCTTATCTTTTTCTCTCTGTCTTTTCTTGATTCTCTAAACGATTGTTCAATTATGTACACACAAAGCGTTTACTATCAGGTTATCTGGATATAATTAATGAAGAGAATGAAAAATAAATACATAACCACGGGCTAGTGTGACGGATGCTGTATCTACGCATAATAACGCGAATTATTAGCATTCGAAATGTTAATAAGCATTTTAAATAACAAGCTAATTATTAGCATTTGAAATGCTAATAAGATGATTAAGATATTTAACTGGTTTTCAAAACAGAAAAATATGAGAAACTTAATTTTTAACAAAAAATTTTTAGCTATATTTAAATAATGAATATATTTATTAGAGAAGAAAAAAAACTGCGTTTAAATAGCAATGTCTAGAATTTTGTCGTGATTTATTTTATTGTAGAATTAAATAGCATTATTTTCTGAAAAATATTTTTATACATTTTTGTGCATAGAAACTTTTATATTATTTTGCAAATGCACATGAGAGCATGTAATGCATTGCAGTGGCATCGATTATTTCAGGAGGGTCCGATTTGCTTAACAAATTTCATCCGCATCATGCGATCATGACCTACTATCTATCAGCGTCACTATCAAACTAAAGTGCACCGCGTGAATTTAATTAAGTTCAACATCCCGTGATTTGGTGCGTTAATTGTCAGTGCGACATAATTATGCAAAAAGAAAGATACCAGTTTTTATCTGTAAATTATTCAACTAATTTGAAATTGATCTTTCTTGAAAAAAATATTGAGAAATAATTAAGTCTTCAAATATATTTATCTTAATTTATTTTATCATTCAAGAAATATTTATGTTCAATTTAATTTCGAAATTTATATTTTGGTTCTTCTTGATATTTTTTGCTGTGAAAAAATCAACTTCAAATTGGGCGAAAGGTGATCTACTGCATCTGAAACACTCCTGTTTAATTTGCATCAATGAGCGTATATCGAAGTGGATGACGCGTGACGAGTTATACGTGAAATCAATGGAAGTAGGACGGACGTTGTGTGCGTGTTTACGACACTCGATAAATCACCCGTGGCGATAATTTTTATAAACCTGTTTTCGAGACTCATGCCATTGCGTAGATGAGATTTTGTTAAGAACTTGCACTAACAAGTGCCTCTTACGCGTATTTAATCGGGGCTATTGTTCCCCTCCGCGGTGAAAGCTCCCGGTAGCCTTTGGATTCAAAACACGAGTAGCGTGGCCTTTGTCTCGATGATTGATTTCTCAACAGCTTGTTATATCTGTGTCTCAATGTCGCGGCGTCAAGTTTGCGGCTGGTTTGTTTGCGCGTATGTTTGCCGTACAAACGAAAACCTTGGCGTTTGACGTATATTCGCGATAGTAGAATAAAATACGGCGTGTGAATGGGCCCGGATTTTACGCGCTTTCGTAGGAAATCACACGTCGGTGTGATCGGATGACTCGTCGCCGTCACTCGTTTCCGCGAGTGATTTAAAAACTGAATCACAAGCGTGAAATGATATTACGCATTCGATGAGTAATTGTAATCTGCCTTATATTTTTTTTTTCCTTCACTTCGTCCAGTAATTTGGTTCAACATTTACATAACGTTTACGGAGATTCTTGTAACAGCGCTTAATAATAATAATAATGCACTAATTGTACTAATAATAATGCGCTAATCGTAGAAATAACACACGCCACGCGAGCCGCGGCGATAGGAAACTTACAACGACTTATTTATCGACGACTTGTACACTATCCGTTATCAGCCAAGTTGTGTTTTCGTGTCTCCTACATGTGAGAATAATATCTATAAGGATAATACGTATGTTAAGAAGAGATACAGCGACTTCGACTCAATTGCTGACTGATAACAGATTAACATAATGGAGACTGCTTTATATAACGACGAAGATATTCGCGCAAAGAATAAAATACAATGAAGTCTACAAATACGCGCGAGAGACACTTCTAGAATCAAATTAATTAAAACGTGATAACGGCCGCGTTATCTGTGCTTGCCTACAGATAATGTACAGATAATCCGAGACTGTCTTTTCCTAGGTGATACTTTTTACATCTAAAGCACGACGCGATCCGCAGTCCTAAAGATTGCGCGGAGAATATAAAAATGCTTTATCCTTGCTGGGACAGCTCGAGCTCCTCGGGGAGCACCGCCTCGCACTCCTCGTCTTCGTAAGCCGCCCAGGACTTCGGGAAGGCGATGCCGCAAGGCCGCTTCTTCGCCAACAGCTTCCGCACTCGTTTCCGCGTCGCGACCAAAAGCAGGAATATGATGAATCCCTGGAGACCGTTCAACAGGTCCGTCGGGATCCTAGTGGGAAAGAATTCGTAGATTGATAATTGATATAGACACGTGATGTGGATTAATTATTTGAAAGACTGCTCACCAGAACTCGTCCATCTTCGTGTCGATGGCGAATGATATTATTTCGAAGATCCAGGTGATGCCCATCACGAGCACCAGCTTGATGTACAGCAGACACTTGAACCGCAGGACGCGCAACTTGCTGCCGGTGTAATTTCGGTATTGGTGCCACAAACGCCAACTGGTCAGGCCGAGATAGATCATATTTAACGTCAGCAGAATAGTCACCGGCCCGTAAAAGTACGCCCATGTTTGCGCGGTACCTGCGAAGTAAGTCAAGGTGTTTTATCTCAGGTACCTCAAAAAAAAAAAAAAACGAAACCGATGAACAAATCGCTGATTGCTCAAATTTCGACATCGATGTGCATTCGGACGATGTTATGGAATAAAATCTATCATTGAATATTTTCTTGTTAGAGTTTGTTGAAAACAACAATGAAAAGATTATAGAAGAGGCGCGGATGCTGAAGCGCAAAAGATATTACAAATTGATACAGAAAAATAACAAAACTTGGAAATTTACCGGCAAACCAGCAGCTGTACTCGCCGAAGCCGGGCTTCAGATGTTGTCCTTTCAAGTTGTGCAACGTTAACGCGACGATCAGGAAGCACGCTGGACCACCCCATCCCCAGATGCAGTAAGCGTAGTAGAGCGGCTGATCCCTCACCCTGAAGTTTTTAAACCTACAACGAAGAAATTGAGTTTTGAAGAATTCAAGTGTATCTTTGACGACACCGTCGTCGCCGTTCATCACGCACGTCCGGCGTTTCTCGGGCAATTTATTCGTCCGGCACTTACCACACTACGCGCCACACGTTGAAGGCCACGATGTTCATCCAGAAGAACGCGGACATGAAGGCGAAGTACAGTATGAATCCTGAAACACGAATTGGGACGGCGAAGAATTAAAAATTACGAGAGCAGAAATTGAATGGCGATTTAATGGTCGCGAAGATAAAACTGACAAAATCGCAAAAGTAATTAAAATTAATCGCGAAAAGTAAAAATAATTAGATAATGACGCTCTCGTTTGGGCGCGGCTCTTGAGATACTCTCCTCGCTCGAGCTTGCGATAAGTCCTCTTGCACTTATCGGCCGTCTAATTACAAGTATAATTATAAAACGCACCGAGAGTGACGCAGATAGTGTAATCGTCTTCCATAGCCGGCCGCAAGTGCTGAATGGAGAGCACGGTATAGCTGACGACCAGGGTGGTGACGGCGGCCATCATCGCTTTATCCTGGAGCTCCCGCAGCTCCGGCAGCATCACGTACACCGCCAGGGTGGCGATGAGGAAGATGGCCGAGATAATGCTCACGATGCAGATCAGCGTGTTCTTCCACATCCACGACATGCTCTCCTCCAGCAGCTCCTTATCGAAGCACACCAGGGCGATCTCGTCATCGCTGTGCTCCGATTTGGCCACGCAGAATCTAAAAGAATACGCGTAAAATTGATGAATGGAAAAACTCATTAACGATAAACAGCGAAACATTGCGGCATATCATCAATCACGATTGACATTAATTACGCATTCATGAAGATTCTTTGATTCGTTGTAAACATTATCGATAATTAATTGCGCGATAATAATGCGCCACAATAACAGCGGAAATCATCGGGATCTTTCTCGTGTTTTTCAATAGTTACCGGCACTTTCGTTCCGGTGATATTTTGTCCCGGAAATGCAACGAATTGCCCGCGCGATTGCGCGGATAAAGCGGGCAGGAAGCTGCGGGAATGCATTACCTGTCGTCCGGGATTTTGTCGTCGACGTCCAACACCAGCCAAGCGGTGTCGTCCTCGTGGACGACGGTGAAGTTGTCGCTCTCCTCAGGATCGATGAGGAAGATGCCGTACGGACAGTGCAAGCGAATCCTCGTGCCGTCCGAGCAGTTGGACGCCGTATGCGACCACATTGCGTCCTCCGGGCAGCAGGACACATTGTGGGACGCGCTCGGGGTAATCGAGCACGCGAGCAGGCAACACCACAGCAACCAGAGAGAACCTGCGGACCGTCGCATTTCGATCACCTTGTTACGATGAATTGGCTAAATGTAATAACATATAGTCGCGCAATTATTCTCTAGAAATTGCATCACGCGTGTAAAAACGCGGAATTGATAAGAAATTAATTTTTCACATTAATCAAATTCTTCAAGCGATGGTTCTCGGAAAGAGATTGCCGCGCTCGTAACGATCCTGTAATAAGAATCCCTCTCCGCGCAGGTGTTTTCCTTCGGAAATATAATCTCTTCCATGTATGCGATACATTATTTGTATATAAATTTACGTTGTGTAATGATGTTGAAAAAGAAAACGCGAAATCCGGTATTGAGATGTTGAAAATAGAATCCAGAAAAACTCTCGCACGTATCTCGCGAACATATATTCGCGCTTTAGCGAAGCATTTGCTGTAGAGTTTCCGCGTGCGTCACGCGAGGATCTGGTTGATATCGTTTTTTACTTTTATCTTTCACGATACTATCGCGTGAGCGTATCAGTTCTCCTCCGCGCGGGGGGGACATCGAGATCCGCAGGAAATAATAAATTCACAATTTAGAACACAGGGTTTTTCGTTTCATCCGTGGAGACGAGAGCCGCCGCCGGAGATGAGAAACGAGTGCCAAGAACGCGCGTAAGAAACGCAATAGGAACGGTGTACCCCGATAACCCAGTTTAGCGCTAATGGCAGATGTGCGATATGAAACAATCGTTATGAAAGAAGAAGGGATGGCACTGTTAAACTGCTAACTCTTTATTAGCGGGCGCTGGACCGCGCTGCACGCGCACTAGATCTCCGCGCGCGGATACTCGGTCAACGGTGCCGCTCGCCTGCGATTTTGAGATTCTATCTTGCGCGCTGCGCACTCTTCCTCCTGGCCGAAGCGACGAGAAATGCGCGGAGAGAGCGGGCTTTAACGTGCAGCAAATAATCCATCTCGCAAAGAGATTTGCAATGTCACGTTCTTTCGTTACAAAAATTAAGCCACTCGTTGAATAACTCGATTCGTCGTATTAACGCTGATAATGTTAATCCTCCCACACTTGGATAACTCTTTCTCATGTTTATGTTTTAATTATCCGCGCGATACGCGCGTGTTTCTTCAACTCGCGCATTCTTTGTTTATTTTTATTTTCCTTTTAGCGTTACGCTTCCAGCGATTTAGTGCTCCATTATCGTTATATCTGACTGAGTAAACGCTCCATTAATTTTTGCATTTTTTTTATTTATAATCCATGCGCTATCGGCCCCGTAATCTCGCCGGATAACGTTATTTTTGCCAGTACACTCAACTGGCGCCGTGCATTTTGCGCGTACGTGCCGTGTCGCTCTCGCGACTACTCGAGCTTTCTGGGGCGATCTCTTGACCCGGTCGCCGCAGCTCTCTCGTCGGAAAACATCGAGGTCTTAAACTTTGAACGTAACACCGTGTATCAATAAAGTCCGCGGATCGCTAGTTTCGCTAGTATGTTAACGAGCGAGCGTCATCGTCGTGTAATTTCTAGGAAATCGCGATGTTGAAAGAAAAATTAATTTCAATAAACCGCGCGATTAACCATGAATCTCGTAGGAATGCCGTGAATATTTTCCTCAACCGGTTAACGTAAACACACTATCTATGTTTAGTAGACGTAATTGCCGCAAATCACGTAATGAACGAATGAAATTAACGAGACAATCACGCATTGATATCTCGCCGTGTGTTTGTCCGATGAAGTTTTACGCCAATAAATTACTTCGCACTCATTTAGTTTCGATCGTCGCGTGAGCTCGAGATAAGCGTGCGCATATGACATTAGATATGACATTAGATCGTAAAATTTATGTGGGGCAAAGAAAGCGAAAACGGAGCTTCGTCGTCTTGCGCTCGGCGCGGATGATAGGAAATGTACGAGCGAAAAGAAGTTACAAACTTGACGATCGTCGCTGGCTGATAATATCTCGCGCCAACAGAAACGAACGTTGTTGATAAATTCAACAAGTTTTACTTAATATACCGTGTATCTCTTCGTCAAATTAGCTTTAGAGAATTATGAAACGTCGAGATAAGAGACTTTAATCTCGCCATCCGCTATTTATTTATAGAGACAGGCTTCACGACTTTTCCACGATGATTTATAGTATCCGTTTCTCGACTCGTTTTGAAACCGAACGGCCTCTATCGGATCCGCGTTTTCCGGATGAACAACGAAGTATTGTTTACCCGCAGATGCACGCGCACGTTCGATGTGTACATTAAATATATTGACTGCAAATTAATTATCCGCTAATTAATTTTCCTCGGCACAGCGTCCTCTTTGCCGATGAAATGATGCTGCCAATAGTGATTAAAATTAATTTTCTCAGAAATTTTGATTTTTTTTTCTCTACGCGTGAATCGAAGTCGTTGTACAGATTTTTAACCCGGCCACGTGTCGTAATTGATAAGTTAATTTATTATCTGCACCGCGCAGGTATTCTACTTCTAATGCACAAAGCTACCGTGCGGATAAAGTTGCGTCTAAGTGAATATTAATGAGCGGAGATTTATGTAAACGAAGTAATTCTGATGTAAACGAGGAATGGAAACATGATCCTGACGCTGCGCAAGGCGCATTTATGAAACGACATCATTAATAAGTCATATTAATACGTAGTATTAATTGATTTCTGATATTGTTTTCTTGGGTGCTCGCATTGTTTTCGTGAAATCACCTACGTGACAAAACTAATATCGGGATATCGATAAAAAACGAACTTTACAACGATGTGTCATACATATATACATCGAGAACTGTTGATCGGCACGAAGGTCTTAAAACATTATTTTCACAGAGGAAAATTCTATTCCGCACTGCGAAGTCTTGCGAAAACAAAATGCAATTGACTCGAAGTGGCCGATTTTTTGTCACATTAGACACAAGCACGCGTGAAACCGCGCGCTAACTTATTCTTTTAATTACAAAAGATTATGTATACATATTACAACTCTATTCCAAGAACTCTATCTAAGAAGATAAATAAATATTTTCGACAAAACACAAGAGGAATAAGAAAATACCCGCACTAATCTTCTCAAAATATAAACTGTCAACAAGTACGTAACTTTCGCAATAACAATCGCTCGATAGCGCAAACACATTGAGATAACCGATCGTCGTCGCGGAAAAGCGACAACAATGAATGCCTTTTTAAGATGGGATAAAAATATAATTCTATATATAATTCTATTAATATGAAAATATAATTCTATTAATCAGTAATTCAATTAAGAAAATAAACAATTTTATTAATCATTATTGCAAATCAACAGATATTGGTCCACAGGAGATTTGCAAGAAGATCATGACATTTATGTGCAAGGAAGAGAATCAATCACGCGCCAAAATCAAAAAGCTTACGCACCTCTGATCGACGACGTGCCCGGCCGTCTGCTATTCCTCACATCGGACGACAACATTGTGTTTCGCTCTCGTTACCGCATGTCTTCGTGCTCTGTCGACGCGGGGCGAATCTGCTTCTCGCCCAGGTAGCCGGATAAGGCGAGGATGACGCCGGAGATCCCGAGTCTCGTGACACTCTTGCGAAAAAGTCACCGCTTCTCGGTGCACCGCCCTCGATCGGGGTCGACGAACTGTCAAATCGCCCGGTGTTCGATGCCCAAGAAACGACCGCGGCGAGTCGTCCTGCAATTTCCGCAGGAAATTCTGCGACGTTATCCTATGGCTGAACGATAACGGCGAGACCTGTGATTCCGTTGAACTGCGGTTTTCCTTTTTCGCCTTTTCTCGATGACGACGATCGAGATTTGCGCGGTGAACTGAAAATCCGCGGACAAAAAGCAGGAATTAAATGCGCTGCACGGCGCGACTTAATCAGCCCTTATCGATCGTCACGTTTCCCTCGAAAATTCCATAAACTCAAGATCGTTGACGAGATCGTTGCGGAAAAATTTTATTTGCTCAGAACGATCCAGACCGGCGTGTTATCGCAATCGCGAGAAAAGTCCTCGACGCGCGTCACGTGATCTTTTACAGAGAAATCAACGTGCTTTACTGTATCGATACTAAATACTATCGATAAGCGATGGGAGTCGCGGAGAGGAGCGCGCGTTAACGCACTTGCGCTGCGAACGAAACTGAACACGACTGCTCTCTCGGGTGTTTGCAGCCGGTGTACCGTGGCTGGAGATAGGCGCCGATCTTCTCCCACTTTTTTTTTTACGTCAGGATAGGCACCGTGGAGTGCGAGCCGTGTATTTTTCTTTTCGTCTTACCATTTCGCCAAGGCTGCGTCCGTCAGAAACAAGGGGATCGGGAAGGACCGATTTCTTTCAATTTCCGATTTCTTTGCAATCCTTTTAAATGCCGCTGCGCGAGCACACATAGAGATGCCGCACGGCCGTGAAGAGCGAGTGGTGCACGCTATCATACTATAATTTATGAGTGCACTTTGTAGTTATTGGAAATTATGTAGTTTTTTTTTATCGTCTGAATACTTTAATTGATACAATCTATTTCGATTCGCGTTATGTTCACGACTATATTTATGCGACATTATAAAACTACTAAGATCGTAAAATCACTGTGATACGCGACTTTATTTGTTATTTATTATCGTAATTGATCGTAATTTATCGTAATTTGTTATCGTATTTTATCATAATATGCGTATTATCGTAATATGAATTTTAATTATTGGGATCGAAATTATTGAAAACTCCCCGGCTGATTTTCCCGGCTTTTTTTATGATATAAACGCTACTTTGATTAACGTGAGTAATCCAGTATTTTAATTTACATAACATTATATTCGCGTTGTTTTTGCGACATTGATTATAGAGCTTCTGAGAAAGAGTACTGTATTCCAAATGGGACAGGCATCCATATACGTTATCCTGCGTGACGAAGAAACGCGCTAAAGATGTATTGTTGTGCATTTAGCATTGTTTGCATACGTAAACAATAGATAATTGTGTATAATTATCAATAGAACTATCTTTTAAAAATTGTAACACTTAACATGAATGAAGGACAATGATGGGAAGTTCCGACGATTACTGCAATTAATTATTTTTTGCCACGACGCTTTCTGCAGTCGGTTAACCTGAAGAGTCACTTAATATATGGAACATGCATGAGTAACGAGCCGCAGTAATTGGCACGCTCATTAGCAGATGTACTGTTAGCTGCACCGTCTTAGATGTACTGTGCGCTGATTAATCTATCAATCTCCCTCACGAACTGTCAGAGAAATGTAACAGAAACCGTGTAACGGTGTGCATCCCTAATATCCGTCGATTAATGCAAATCAGCACAATCAAATCCGTTCTAAATACATTTAATTAGAATTGAATAGTTTCTATTTAGGTCATCTTGAAATTCGAAAACTTTGCAATAATTTGCGTTTTCTAATGTGCATTTAAAGCAGAGTATAATCAATATGGGAACCTGTGACACGTGTTTCAAGTAACAGTAAATGCTTCAGCTTCTCAACGAACGGTGGCTTGGCTTTCTCGGAAAGACTCATCCTCGAGGAAGAAATCTCGTCCGACGAGAAAAACGATTAACATACCCGCAGCCGGTCCTCTCGTCGGCTACAACGTCGAAGAGACGATTATAAATGCAACGACTTTGTTGATTCTAATTTTATCGATACACCTACACAGACCATATACAAACACTCGAACAAACAGTTTTTCTCTATGAAAAAGAAATGGCACGAGCCACGTGCCAATGCATAAAACGCCACTTTAGATGTCTAGAAATGCACGATTGGGTCACCTTTGCGCTTTCATTGCAGCTCCTGGAAATGCTCAAGTTTTACGCTCGCTTCGAGATCAACGAGGACACCGGTAACCCTCTGACGGATCACGACATGACGCAGCTGCATTATGAAAAAATTACGTCTCTTCAGGTACGTGGAAGCGCCGCAGATGGAAACGCGATAGCGGCTTTATAAATATGCATTTTACAATCTGTGGGATATTCAGCATTACTGGAAAATGACGTTTCTGGTTTTTGCATCATTTCGGCGTTTTGTCTCTACATTACAATTAATATATTACATTTTTGTGTTAATTTTTTGATAGACGTCAATCTCTATCTTTTTTGTTAAACCAGTAGTTGATCAAAGAGAATGGAATTTTAATAGCTATGATTAATCCTAGTTAATGCGTCATTAACATAGTGATGCGCGTATTGTTATATATTTTAGATCGTAAGGCTGACAAGTAACATTTTAAATTCTTTAGAGTGCGGTTTTCGCAAAATTTCCGGACCTGAGGAATTTTGCATTGGCCAACGTAGCCAGTGTCGACGTCAGGGATGCCCTTTACAAGCATTTTGGTTATCTCAGGTAAATTTTTTTGCACATAAAATTATTTATTCCACAAAATATATCAGCGCGTATCTTAGATTTTAAAGCTCTATCAATTTTGTGTGACAACTTTGAGATACGAAGCTGCACATATTTCTATATCTGTCTTTATATTTTTGTTTTGCTAATTTTTGAAAATAAAAATTACAAGAATTCTTAATCTTCAATATAAAACTATGCAATGCACAAATATCAGAATAGTATAATTTTATTGTGAATTATATTGACGTATAAAATGACGCGTAATTTATTCATCATAACAGCGTTAGTATTAAAACACTGCGATTATCCGCGAATTGATCAAACGACGCTGACTAATATCCGCTTTTATTTCCAGTCAGGAGAAACTCAGATCTATCGCGAGTTATTTGAATTTAGTGCCGCCCAAGGAGCGGGAACAGGAGGAGAATTGGTACCGCCTGGATATAGACTTTTTGCGCGAACTGCTGGTGAGTAAGAGAGAAAAGAAAAAGAGCGAGCGTCTCGAGGAGAATCGCGCTGACGAGACCGAGACTGAAAGTGTGCGCTTTGATTTCAGATATCGCGACACGAGCGCAGACCGTCGCAGCTCGAGGAGCTAAATCAAATGCCTTTGTATCCGACCGAAGAGATTATCTGGAATGAGAGCATTGTCCCAACAGAATATTTCTCCGGCGAAGGCTGCCTGGCACTGCCGAAATTGAACCTGCAGTTTCTCACGTTGCACGATTATCTGCTGCGAAACTTCAATCTATTCCGCTTGGAGTCTACATGTACGTAAATAGCGATAAATAAAAGTCCCTGCCGTTTATCATTGTCACACGTCAATTTGTTATTAAGTATCAGTTATTAAACATGTGTTATTGACGTTTACAGATGAAATACGACAAGACATCGAGGATGCCGTAAGCAGGTTGAGTCCTTGGTACGTTAATCGCTGCATAGCGTATTTAGATAATCTTTCTTTCATAGTTGGACGACCTTGCGTGTTCTTCTCGTGTCAAAAATTAATCAAAACTATCGTTGCTTGTAGGCGCGCGGAGGACGGGGGCGTCTACTTTGGTGGATGGGCCAGAATGGCGCAACCTATCACGCAATTCGCGGTGGTCGAAGTGGCTAAGCCTAATGTGGGCGAGAATAGGCCATCGAGGGTCCGCGCTGATATTACGATAAATCTTAGCGTTCGCAAAGAGATCAAATCCGAATGGGAAAACCTTCGTAAGCACGACGTGTGCTTTCTCATCACGGTTAAACCGCCGAATCCTATCGGTAAGATAAAAAAGGATGATGAAGATAGAGAAAAAATTAATTACGGTAAAAAGAAGGTTTACCGGCACAGCATATGTTATGTTATCGTGGCAAAATTCGTCAATTAAGACGATTTGTTAAAAATACTAATTTTATTTGTGTCAAAAATAATTTTGCCAATTGTATCACTAACAATGATTTTTGTTCCGTCATCAGAGCGGATGATTTCGTATTTATTAAAGATAAATTATCTCACACCTCGGCAGCAGAGATTTAATTTGTGCGAAAGTTGGTCGCTTTTCGAATATTTGATATGCATCGACAGTTTTGCTACGACAGAAAAATTTTTTTTGCATGAAATAGTCGTATAATAATAATAGATGACAAAATTCTCAGACAATTGTTACGCTATTGCAGGCACGAAATATAGTCACAAGCTCCCCTTCGTACCGCAAGTGGGCCTAACGACGGTGCGGGGATGCGAAGTCGAAGGTATGCTCGACTCGAACGGTAGGGTGATCGAGGATGGCCCTGAGCCGAGACCGATTCTACCGGGCGACTCGCGGACCTATAGAGTGTGGCTGGACTGTAATCAATATCGGATTGACATGGACAACGCCAGCCACGGCGGCGAGGACGTGTACGAGGGATTCAATATTATAATGCGACGTAAACCTAAAGAGAACAACTTCAAAGCAGTCTTAGAGACTATAAGGGAGCTCATGAATACTGAATGCGTCGTGCCCGACTGGCTGCACGATATAATTCTCGGATACGGTGATCCCGGTGCAGCGTGTTATTCTAGGTATAGAGCTATTATCAATTTATATATCTATACACTAATAACAAAGTATATTTGTCCGATCACTTCAAACGATATCAATTGAAAATGACCGAACAAATCTATCTGAAATTTTAACGATAATATTTTTTCCAGAGCTACATTAATAAAGTTGTACTAATATTTAAAAAATAAAAAATTAATAAAACCAAATAATCACTGATCAATAATTGATATAATAAAATAATTGTTGATTTTGTTTTTTTTTGAAACATAGATTAGAATTTTCCAAAATAATTTACAATTTGATTGACTAATAAATATGTTGATAATAGAATGCCGGATGAAATCGTGACGATGGACTTCAACGATACATTCCTCGACATAGACCATCTACGAGCCAGTTTCCCTCAATACGAAATAAAAACGAATTCCGAGGACGAAGGAAATCTCGTGCGACCGTTCCAGTTGACTTTCGAGGATGTTCTTGGGAAACGCAACAACAAACCGATTGAGAAGATTATCAGAATTAAACCACACGTGCCGCCTAGTAGAGGTCCATATAGAGCGAACGAACCGAAGAAGTTAGTGTTTGCTTTGCTGCAACTTTATTTACAATACGTGTTACCTTTTTTCAAACCAAAGATAAACACATTGTCACATTACAGAAATCAAATTCCCTTCACGCCGACGCAAGTCGAAGCCATAAGAGCCGGGATGCAGCCAGGTCTGACGCTGGTCGTCGGCCCGCCCGGTACCGGCAAAACAGACGTCGCCGTGCAGATCATCTCGAATCTGTATCACAATTTTCCCAATCAGAGAACGCTGATCGTGACGCACTCCAATCAAGCGCTCAATCAGCTGTTCGAGAAGATAATGGCCCTCGATATCGACGAACGGCACCTTCTGCGTCTCGGTCACGGAGAAGAGGCGCTGGAGACGGAAAAGGACTTCAGCCGCTATGGCAGAGTTAATTACGTTCTCGCCAAACGCTTGGACCTGTTGATGGAAGTTCAAAGATTACAAGTATTTATTTCTCATTTTTTTAGCGAATATTACTTTGGAAATAATATTGGGTTGTGTAATTTCGCCCTTTCTTATAGATGGTGTTATTGTTATAACTTCGACAAATGAATATTTAATGAATATTTTTAATATTTAATTTATGTGCTAATGAAATTGCGCTTTACTTGATAAAAAAAGTAAATAGATTTATTGGAAACTTTCAAATTATACTTATTTATTGCACAACCCGATATTAAAATATTGAAAATTATGCAATATGTTTCTTCTTTAGGAATCTCTGAACGTGAAAGGCGATGTCGCGTATACATGCGAAACAGCAGGATACTTCTTCACGTATCAAGTGTCCACGAGGTGGGAGCGCTTCGAGACGAGAATCAAACAAAGGCAGCACACGAGTGAGAAGTGCGATTTGCCTTCTATAATCGACGAAGAGTTTCCGTTCCACAAATTTTTCGACAACGCCCCGCAGCCGCTTTTCAAGCGGAATTCGTACGAGGAGGATCTCAAAATTGCGCACAGCTGCTTTAGGTAACAATACATTCGATAAATTCTTACAAGACGAGTAATTACGATTGATTCTGATGAGATGCGATCTGCTGCGCAGGTACATCGAGAGGATATTCGCGCAGCTGGAAGAGTTCCGCGCTTTCGAGCTGCTGCGATCGGGTCTCGACAGATCGAAGTACTTGCTCGTGAAGGAAGCCAAGGTGATCGCCATGACCTGTACGCACGCGGCGCTCAAACGGCGCGAGCTCGTCGACATGGGTTTCAAGTACGACAATATTCTCATGGAGGAGTCCGCGCAGATCCTAGAAATCGAGACCTTCATACCGTTGCTGCTGCAAAATCCGCAGGACGGCTACAATCGGCTGAAACGTTGGATAATGATAGGCGATCACCACCAGCTGCCGCCCGTCATCAAGAACATGGCCTTTCAAAAATACTCGAATATGGAGCAATCGCTGTTCGCGAGGTTCGTGAGGCTGGGCGTGCCTACGGTCGATCTCGACGGCCAGGGTCGTGCCAGGCCCAGCATCTGCAATCTGTACAATTGGCGCTACAAGAAATTGGGCAATTTGGCGCATGTAGAGCGCAGTCCCGAGTACCTGGTGGCGAACGCCGGTTTCATGTACGACTTCCAGCTGGTGAACGTCGAGGACTTTAACGGCGTCGGCGAGAGCGAGCCCAGCGCCTACTTCTACCAGAATCTCGCCGAAGCCGAGTACTGCGTCGCTGTGTTCATGTACATGCGTCTGCTGGGATACCCGGCGGACAAGATCAGCATACTGACCACGTACAACGGCCAGAAGCATCTGATCAGGGACGTGATAAATATCCGGTGCGCGAACAATCCGCTGATAGGCCGGCCGAACAAAGTAACGACCGTTGACAAGTATCAGGGTCAGCAGAACGACTACATTCTGCTGTCTTTGGTGAAGACGCGCGCGGTCGGTCATTTGAGGGACGCGAGGCGTTTGGTGGTGGCGATGTCGCGCGCCCGTCTCGGCCTCTACGTCTTCGCCCGCGTGTCTCTCTTCAAGAACTGCTTCGAGCTGACGCCGGCGTTCGACCAGCTGATGCAGAGACCGTTGAAACTGCAGCTGCTACCGCAGGAGCTCTACCCCACGGAACGACCGTACGACGCCGCGTCCGCGACAGCTCCAATGGAAATCGAGGACATGCCGCACATGGCCAAATTTGTTTATGACTACTATATGGGAAAGGTCAGCGGAATGAAGGTAATTTTCGAGAATGATTTGTAAATCTGTTTCCGTAAACTTTCTTCGATCATTGCTGATCGTCTTTTTTAGGGCTCGCAAAAGATGTGGCAGAAACCTGGAACTATGCAGACGTCGGGCAGCCCGACGCACAAGATTCCCGCTCATCCGGGTGCCGACGACGACACGGACGACGAAGAGGAACCCAGCCAGGAGGACGTTGAAATGCAAGAAGAATCCAAAGAGGAGACGAAGAGCAAATACGAGCCTATACAGAATTTAGTCGAAGATCCACCGAATGAAATAGAAGATGATCATTGAACGGATCTTGTGGTGATGTATCTGTGCGTGTAAAAAGACTAGTTGTGAAGCGTATCGATACTTATCGATTTTACAGTTTGGAAATAGGACGTTCGCTGCGCGACATTGGTATTGTAAGCGGCGGTTTATATTAATCGATCAGTCGGTATGATCAGAATTATTAGAATAATTGTTTTATTACACGTCACTGCGTTACTATACAATGACATATGAAGTCTTCTTACACAACGTATTAAAATAAAATATAGTTTTTATAAGCAATCAGTCGTAGCAAAATTATATTTTGAGCTCACAAAACTCCCGTCAGCGCCATGTCGCTTAAGTACTTCACCGAATTTCACGTCATATTGATGCGAAAAGCACGCATACATCTCACGAGAAGAGATCCATCTTCTTCTTGGTCGGCGTGCCCTTACGACGCGCTTCCAGTCTCTGCAACTTCAGCTTCTCCGGTGTCTTTGTCGTCTCGCTCGACGGGCTCTGTTGTACGCTCGATGGCACGTAACTGTCGTCGAACTTCATCAATTTGCTTGGCGATTTGAAGTCGGGCTCGTACTCTTCTATGGAAGACTTGACGCCTTTGGAATTGGGCACGTATTTCTCGAGAACGTCGTCGGGGATCATCGTGGTGGCACATGGCTCATAAGTCTCGTAGCTAGCCTCCAATTTCTCGATAGGGTTTGGCACGTAACTTATGATCTCCGCCGCGTGTTTGTTGTCGCACAGAGTCGGCGTGTACTCGTCCGATGTTAATCGCATAGTCTCGAGCATGCTCTTCCGACTGGGCACATACTTGAAGTCCAAACACGGTCTCTTCGGTGCGTCTGGAATGTATTCTTCCAACAACGAGTTTTCCAGATCGTCGGAGAGCTCGTATTCCCGACTTCTCTTTTTTTTCTGGTCCTCTTGCTCCGTCGCGGCTGCGTGCGGAATCTCGATCTTTTTCGAGAGAGTCTGCGTCGGTTTCTCGGGTGTTTTCTTCAACCGATCGCATTTTGTGCTGGTCGTTTGGTCGGGAGATTTCTCTTCTTTCGTTCGTTTCGCCGCGTCGTCTTCTGTTTCCACTTTGCACCTCTTTGACGTCTCGTCGCCCGTGTCTCGTTCCACCGTTTTTTCCCGAGCTGGTGATACGTGTACTTTGATTGTAGGCAAGGATGGCATGTCGCTTGTGCATTCTGAATACTCGAAAGTGTAGCTGTAATACGAAATTCATATTACTCACTTTGTATTTTAATAATGACTGAATTTGATCAAACAAACGCAGAAATTTATTATTTTTAGAATGCCATATCTTTTATTTTACTTATTTTTTACAGACAAAAAACTCTTATTTATTTGATAAGACACTAGTCTTATCAAAAATATATATATTTTTAACATATTAAATTAATTATATTATGTAATAATATATAAAATATAATTCTTCATTTATTTTGTAAATTGATCAGCTTAATTTTTAGGAAAATTTGGAAAATTATTTTTTGAAGGAAATAAAAATAACACTTTATTCAATTAATGAACATTTGGATTACAAACGAGATTAATAAGACCTAAACAACTTATTGAAGAAATTACTCGCGAAATAAAAAAACTGCATTCTTACGTGACTTCCAATTGACGAGTGGACTTTCTCCACTCGCATCCTCGATCCTCGCGATGCGAACCATCGTCCCGACTGTTTCGCAGGACCGCTCGTTGCAATATCTTGTAAAGCGCCGCCCAATCCTCGACCTGCAGCCACTTGTTGGTGATGACCTTACGCTTCTTAATCTCCACAGTTTTCTCCTGCACGGTAACCACAGCGGTCGCAAGGCAATAGTCCGAGACCTGCGAATACAATTTGCGATATACAGAAATGTTTATTATTCGCAAGTTACTGTGTGTGTTTTTTTTTTGTAATCATCATAAAATTAATGAACGATTATTGCGACAACATTCGCGTAGTATCTTTAATTATTGTCAGAATGTAAATAGAATGTGCATATGTTCCAATATCCGGACAAAGTGTAAAATACGCAAGATACTTTTTAAATAAGAGATTCAGAAATTACTTCTAAAACTGATCAAAAGTACTGTTTTTCAAGCACTATAAAATATTACTTGCTCTTAATAAAATAGCTAACGATTAATCTAAATTGTTTCACATAATAACTTCATTACTGCACACCAGTTCATTGTATAAGATCAACCATTATGTAAATATTGTGCAAATATTTTTTTTTATTAAATAATGACCGTTTTATGTTGTCGGATTGGGTATGTTCCGCTACTGGAACATTTACTATTTACCTTTTATTTGACTGTTCAAAATATACATATACATATATACATATATAGACAGTAGCATATATAATGCCATCACTTGTAGCAATTATTAGCATGTTCAATGAAATATTCCAGGCGGCGATTCAAGATCCCGACAAATATCGCTAATGTGTGATGGAATACCGCTACTCTCTCATCTTCGCAGATATTTATGCACACGCGTGCATCGCACGCGCGCGCGCGCGCGCGCTTACTGACAACCAGCTGTTGACAGCTGTTGCATGCGGTGCGTCTTGATACCTTGATCACTTCCAGATACTGGCCGTCCCGGAACATGTTTGCGCTCAGCGCGCTGGAGTTCGGCGACGACGATAGCGGCGCGAAGCCGTGCACTCACGGCCGTGGCTCCTTCGTTGTTTTGATAGCTGTCCTATGTAGATGCGCGTGTCACGCGGACTCGACGGAATGAGTCTCCCGGAATGAGCTGACGTCGGCGCGCGGACTTGGCGCACGCTTATCCTCCTTGGCCGGCGCAGAATGGAAGAAGCAAGAAGCGCGCGTGCTGCGGACCGCGCTTTGCTCGCGCCTGTGAAGTCACGTCCTTTTTTACAATCAAATTTTCGACGTGAGACTGTGAGATAGTTAACATCTTGGTAATCGGAATAGTTTTTTTATCAGCTTTCCTATAAATCGAAGGTGATAATACTATATTGTCGAATTATATCGAATAATTAAATGTGCTAATTGCTTGTTATACACATTCTTCTCAGGTCTGTTCTTTTCGACTTTCTTATAATATTTATTTCTAATTATATATATACTTGTTTCATTTGGAGTACAAATTATATGGAGCGTAGCCAAAAAGAACAGACTTCTAAGCTTGCATAACTGAAAAATTTGATTATTATGCAATCGATATTAAATTGCATAAGGTATGCAAATATTGCACTCAAAATTTTGATCTTTATACGTAAAAAAATGAAAGTTATTAATATTATACAATGACTATTATTCTTACAGCTTTTGTGTAAAATGTCCAATTTTATTAAACGCCGATAACGTATCGAACACGACAGTAAATGGTCGAATGACCTCGATCGGTGTGTACGAACATTTTCAAATTCGAGAAACACACAACGAACGACATTCTTGAACAGAATTCAATCAATTATGCCGCACGAAAAAGAGCCTACGATTTTCGAACGTTTCCAGGTTTATATGGAGAACGAAATGGGTCCGGGCAAGGTATAAAACTTTTCTAACCTCGTCATGTGATGTTTTATCAGTCACTTGCTAACCCATTCATTCGCTTTTCTAGCTGATTACCTATGGAATCGCTAGCGCCGGTTTATTCGTTGCTCTGTACAGAATCAGGCCTGTAAGTATGAACTGTCTGCAATTTGCTGTTATGTTATGCATGTTATGTAGACTGCTGTTATATAGACTGACATAGATTTCTCACACTGGTTGTTCCTTAGTTTGCGAGATTCACGAAACCGTCCGATGTGCCACTTCATTTCCTACAATCGCGAGTTCCACTTCAGGGCACAGTAATGCGCGTGGAACCGAGTGGTGGTGCTCTGCTGATGGTCGATCATCAGTCTTTACTGCCTTTTCCCCATTTTAATAGTAAGAACTATTTGCCTGTAAAGATCAGCGGCGTTGATGTTACGGGTAACGGTAAGTATTGGATGGATCATAGTTTCTAGCTGTTGTCGCAACACATCAATGTCTTCCAGGTTTAAGTTGGTTGCAGTCTATAGTCAATGGAAACTGTATAACATTAGTGCCCTTAGCCAGGGAAAAAGAGTATCTGGAGTGCATAGCCTCAATGCAGCAGAAAGATCAAGTGAGAGAAGCAATAACTATTTTTTCTTTATACGAATATATGTTGCATGCTTGTGTGGCGTGCTCATGTGTTATTTCTGTAAACAGGACACATTAAAAATTGGAGAGGAATTAATCAAGTTAGGTTTAGGTACAATACGCGAACCTCGGATAAAACTAAAGGATAAACACATTCTAGCATACAAAAGATCTCTAGCCAGCGCACAAAAGTGGGCAGCCCGCAGAAGAAACGGTTACTGGCATTTTGCCAAACAGCCAACAGTTCTATGGAAAACGCAAATGTTTATAATTAATAAAATGAAGTCGTTGTTACCTACTTATATAGTAAGACAGCTTGATCTCTAAATATGTTTTGCTTGTTTTCATAATTAAATTTATAGTGATATATTTTTATTATAGATATATTTTTAATAGTTAACATTTAATAAGATTATATACTTAGATTTTTTCTAATAAAGGTAATTATTTTAGTAATTTTCTATGTGTCTTATTAAGAATATTATGTAAATACTTAATTAAAAAGGACAAATGTGCGTTTATGGAGATTCTACATATACAAACATAATTTCTTATCTTGTGTTTCGAATACTTTAGACATGTCCTTTTAAACATGTCTTGTTTAATATAAATACGATAAGAGTAAAGATTTAAATATTTATACAAATGATAAGTTCAACTATTTACAAAGATGATTTTATTTGTACAATTGCCAAACTGTACAATTTCTTATAACTATCTTACATCCCACATCTGATAAAGTATAACGAAATTATTATGTTTTATAATGGTTTTATATTATCTAAATTAACAAAAATAGTCTTTCTGTAATATAACAATATTTATTCCCTTTCCAAAATTCATTCACTCACAATTTATATGTTTATTTCGATATTTTGACGGTACTAAATTAATAAAAAAAAAAAAATGGAAAGTAACAAAGTAGAAAGAAAGTAACAAGTAACCTTCCTTTACTCTTGTTATGTTTTTCTTTATTTATGACACGGGAAATATTCACAAACATAAGTTGTAACAAATTGTAAATCAAATTAAATTATTTTAATATAATTCTTGTATATGGTCGTGTCTACAAAATAATCATAAGGATTGAATAATTAAAATTAATAATTAAAAAGAAAAAATAAAAAAAAAAGTCAAGACTCATAAACGCTTTCATCTCGTATCAGGAATTAGTTTCAACACAAATAGAAAGTAGATATAAAAATTAGTATATAGATCACAAGTATGGAAAACATATAGTAAAATTTGCAAAAAACGATACTTTCAACGTCTTATATAAGTATATACATCATAAGTCACTAACATTTAACTTTCTAAATCTTTATCTCAGTTAATCATTGTAACAAAGCTGCTAGATTCTCGCACATTATTATTAATATAATATTGCCTTTTCCCAGGAATGTAGAAATGGAATGTACAAAGTAGTTCGTTATTGATGGTGAAATACTAAGGTGAAAACAAAGATAATTATACAAATTAAAAATTTTTAAGAAAATTATTTTGTAGGAAGTTTTGTCTTTGAAATAGATTTTTCTGATAATTTCAAAGATTTAACGTTTATATGTTATTTAAATAAAATATTTACTAGTAGAATATTTATTAATAGTAGAAGGGGCTTCTAAGGCCGTAGTGTAGTAATTAATTTAAAAAACCTTGTCAGATTTTTTGGACTAATGAATCAATTGTCAATCTTGTACACGAGTGTTATTATCGCATTGTCCATCACAGAAGTTCTGACTTTGTCGTCAGACACAATCAGAACAGCATGATAAACAACAAATAATAACACTCGCGTATAAGATTGAGAATTGTTTCATTAGTTCAAAAAATCTGATAAGGTTTTTAATAAATGACTACTGTAAATGGAATACAATCCCGACTCTAGTATAGAAATGAAGACAGGACAACATAAGAGGATTCAAAATTTGTTAAATTATTAGCGGCACTAGAAATTTAATTTAATATTAAGAATTAGGCATATTTTTTAAAAATTGTAAACGGTGATGAACACTGGTCGGAAACTTGAAAATTCGACCGAAACGTTTGCCAATTTGTAATGTATTAATAAAGAGAAATGTAATAAAAATTTAGCAAATACATCTAGCTAGAAGCTCCTTCTAATACATTAATAATTTTTTTTTTTAATAAGACCTATCTATTAAGTTTTTGATAACATATTCAATTATTTATTTAAATCACACTTTAATACTGAGATACGAAATCTATGAGAAACGATCATATTACAATATAAAAAATTTAAAAAATTAATATATATGCTTAAAAATTACAAATATTTTTAATTTTTAATTCTAAAAAATAAAACTTTATATGAAAACTTTATATGAAAAAAGCTTACCCTACATTTTTAATTTAATGTACTTTCATATAGAAAGTTGTCATATTTTCAGTCATTAATAACGAATTACCATGTATATAACTGATTGTGCATGACTTGGATTAACAGCAGTGTGAATGATACAAATATATATATAAAATAAATTGAGACATGAGAAATCGATAATTTATATCACCTCAAGCTATTTTTCATCAAAATGGAATGTCTGAAAAATGAAGTGTACCTGTCAACAAGTGTTGGTGGTATCACAATGTGCAACCGTTAATTAATTTTTTTTTATTAGAGCTCCTCTTTTGGGCGATTTGTTTCTGACTTAACTTTTTCAGGTTGTGACTTCTGAGTTTTCTGTTTTGTGGAAGTATCCTGCTCCACTTTTACATTTTTTTCAGATTTTGTGCTTGTCTTCGCAGCATCCTCTTTCGTTCTGCTATTTTCAGACTTTGCATTCGGCGAGCTTGATTTCGCACTGGGTTTTGCATGGTTAACTGTATTTGCACTCTCCTTTTTGATTTCGGCAGATTTCGAAGTTGATTTAGTTTCTGATGACTTATCAACTTTAGGAGTTGGAGATGGTTTTGGTGCAGCTGTTGGCTTAGGAGTTGTGGCAGTTGGCTTGGACGTTGTAGGTGCAGCGGTTGATTTTGTCGGAGTGGCAGTAGATTTCTGAGAAGAAACTTTCTCCTGTTTCGACTCTGTTGATTTTGCGCCTTGTTTCGTTCTTTCGGAAGATTGTCTCTCGCTATTAGCCAGATCAGGAAAAGCTTGCTTTAACGGAACTCTGACCAGATAATGCTTTTGCGGAGAACCTAGCCATAAATAATCATTGTGTATGCAAGCTGCACTGAAACCGGAACCAACTGTATCGTCGTCTGCGAAAATGGAGTCCACAATGTTACCAGACGCATCTATTCTCAGCACGTAAGATCTCTTCTTTGTATCAAAGACTTCTTCAAAGCCTTGTGGTGATCCAATCGCATGTATAAGTCTTTCGGCATAAGTATTAGGATAGATATCGTGTAATAGTTTAATCGGTAATTCCATAACTATTAACAATCGTACAAGCATCTTTCTTAAATATGGATGCGGTGTAAGAGATGCAAGAATATGAGGATGCTCAGGGTCAATCGCAAAATATAGAACGCCAAAGAAGCCACCATGACCATCCCTGTGAAGATTATCTATTGGACCTAACAAACCCTCAATGAAAATTTCCGTCTGTCCTGTTTTTGGTCCTTTTAAATTATACTTCAAGAGACGGTGCTTTGTCATATCTGATACAATTACGTAACTTTCGTCGTCGTTTAGAACAACGCCATTTGCGAATCCGATATTGCGTATCAACACTTCGTTTCTCTTCTTAGCCGCATTATAACGTATAAGCCTGTAAATTGTATTTATTATCCATATATATACATAATTATACAAAATTATATGTATATGTACGCATATGCAATGATCTTCAAGACCCGCATTTACATATTTTTCTATTACCTTCCCGACGGATTGGATAAGAACGCCGGTACTGCATCGTGAAGTTCAAAATCCGTACTGCTATCAGTCCAATAAAGATCTCCATTTTCCGCAACATCTATACCATTAGGTATCCTTGGAACTTTACCCTCGATCGGCTTAGAAGTATTCACTATATTTTTGTATTCTCCGGTCGCAACATTTACTTTGAAAATTCCGTAATAAGTGTCCACTACATACAAGTTGCCTTTCTTATCAAAATGAAGTCCCAATGGCCTGCCACATTTTTTTTCTTGCCAAATACCATCTGCAAATTTTGAAAAAAATATGTATTATTAGCTGCAATTTTGTGTCACAATTTTTTTAGTTACAGAAAAATTGCGTATTTATATATTAATTCTATATATGTATATTTTTCTATATATGTATAATTTCTGATTTTTTCATAATTCTATATATATATATATATATATATATATATATATATATATATAGTTTTTATTAATAATATGAAGAAAAATTGATAAAAATGGATATATTACAATATATTTTAATATAAAATTAAGTTTTTTAAAAAAGCTTACAAAATATTAAGCTAGCTATCAATCAATTTAATAAACATTTAAACATATCAGAGCAAGCTGATTAATATAAATGTTATCAGCACATTAACAGTATTGAACATGGTGTTGATAACTTTTAAAAACTGAACATTACATTACATTACAATCAAGGTTTTTTTCTAAAAATCTTGTGTTTCGAATATACTTTTAAAAGTCACTAATTTGATATTAAAAAAGTTAAAACATCTATCCTTTGTAAAGATCAGAAATATGTAGGAGTTATTTGATCTTTGAACCTGTTATTCTGTTTAATCTTCCATAATTTAATTTTTATCGAGTCATCATGAACACACAGCAATTTCCATCAGTAATTATTCAATATAAAAAATCGTATCTCACGTGAAGACTTAAAGTTGAAATATACTAGTTAATTTATCTTTTCAAGTTGAAAAAAATATGGCTAATAAATTACATTATTCAATATTCAGAATTATTTTAAAGAATTATGTATGCATAAACGCTTTTACTTCTTATCTCTTATACTTCACATATAAGATTTACATTCTAAATGTCATTTTTAGATTTATGCTAAACTTGACTGAATATTTAAATAATCAAGTATCTGATATTAAATTGTATATAATTTATATATTTTGTACATGCGATTGCTTTGAGCGATAAATTTATCACTAATAAAATTATCTGATAAATCGAGTTACTTTTATCTATTATATAACAAAATTAATTTTTTTCTCTTACCACATTGCTGGCCGAACTTCACAATTGGCACAATGCGATCTTCCTCGACCCTTACGACGTAACCGCCGTGAACACCGGTGTACAGTTGACCGTTATAGGTAACCAGATCCTCCGGACCATGAAGTTCTTTCTCGAACAACTTCTGGGCGCCGTTTAGCCGATTCTTCGGACTCACCTTGGAGTCCAAATTGGGTAATACTATGCTATAAAGTAAAGATCAAAACCAATAAACGAGATTCGACGCCGCTGATGATTTGCGTGATATGACAAGGGCATTGCGTGACCAATACTTTCGTGTCGCATGGATGTTACCTGAATTCTTCGAACTCTGTTTTCGGCGGTAGACCCGGTAGGAATGTAATCACCGCCAGGAATAAGCCGATGTAGATGATGACTGTACCAATACACTTGAGATAGCCCATCTCATTAACGTGTATTTCCTTCCGACAATCACGATCACTTTTCGTCAATCAAGCACCCGTCTGTTCTGCTCGGAACTTTTCGTCTCTCCTTGCACGATGTTCCGCGCAACTCGTCGCGCAAGATATGTCTCAAAGTTGTTTACCGCGAAAGGATCAGTTAGTGATTTGCACGCTATTTATAATCTATATCCCCGTTATCGTCGGCAGATTGTGGTCATACTAAAGGAAATTATAAGAGAATCTGGAGGGGAGAGGGGAGGAGGAGGGAAAGGTAGGAGAAAAGTACAGTAGATCCAGGCGATTTAACAGTTTCTGATGACACGCAGATAACGGCATCGATGTATTTTTTAAATATCACCGGCGTTTAATGCACGCGCACCGCTACGTACGGAATAATCGCCACGCAAACGAACAATCGTGTAATATCATTAATTTCAAAGTTATAAAGAAATTCATAATCGCAATTGCATAATCGTGAAGGGGTACGTCACCAACGCGCCAGTCGCAGCATTATCATATTAATATAAATCATTGAATATTGAGGTACGTTCAGAACTACACTCTGGATGACAGCTTTGTCTGTTGTCTATAGTGTACGTCACGTATAATATAGACAATAGATAAAGACTGTCGCCTGAGTACACTCCTGGAGTGAGCTTTGAAAGAGGGGGAGTAGCCTCACTTTGCAAAAGAGAGAGCTATATTGGTTGGGGACGTTTGTCTTTCATCGTTTTTAATATCTCCGCCATGCACGATAGCAAATGTGGAAAAAGTACATAACATTCTTGTTTATTATTGCTATCCTTGAACCTTGAGCCGTAGATTATACATTAATTTTTATGTAAAAATATATAAAGATATGTGCATAATAAATTACTCGTATATGTCGCATGACGTTAATGTTTAATATCACTTTTTATAAATTGGGTAATTACAGCATCTTATTTGATACGTTAATAACTTATAATAGCGTTAAAAGTGTTCTCAAAAAGATATCTCCAAGATATCCTAAAAACGTTCTAAAAAATACGTCAATTTTTAATTTTTTTAACGATTAGTATTTTCAATTTTGCAACAAAAAAACTTTCCATAAATTTTTACGAGCATCCCAACATTGTCAAAAGTAACCCAGAAGCGAAAATAAGCATGTAGAAAATTTAAATTACCTGCTGACAACGGCCAGAAACGTTCCATTTTAGCCGGGATTTTATGAAATTGTTAACAGGAACACATGATGCAAAAGGAGCTTGTTAACAGGAGCACATGATAATACAGGAGCTCTACTCGTAACAGTGCCATCTATTGATTAGCTAAAGCAACATTACGAATGCATTGATGGTAAAAAAGTGTTAACAGGAGCACATGATGATATAGGAGCTCACTCACTGTACCTAATGGTAAATGTACCGACTAGTGCGATTGGTACACTTACCATCAATGCATTTGTAATGCTTTAGCTAATCAATAGATGGCACTGTTACGAGTAGAGCTCCTGTATTATCATGTGCTTCTGTTAACAAGTTCCTATTACATCATGTGTTCCTGTTAACAATTTCATAAAATCCCAGTTAAAATGGAGTCGTTCAAATGGATAATCTGAATTTTTCTACATGCTTCTTGGCTACTTTTGACAGTATTAGGATGCTTGTGAAATACTTAAATAATTAGAACGTCTTTTTTTTAATTTTTGGAAAGTTTTTTGTTGTAAAATTCAAACTAATTGTTAAAAAAATTAATAAACGACGTCTTTTTTAGGACGTTTTTAGGATGTCTTTAGACGTCGGCGTTATTGCTTCCCTATGCTTCGTGTATAAACATAATGGCGTCGGTGCGTTCGAAAGTTGCGTCCAGACAAAGAGACAACGGTATTTCTGCAGGCTTTTTTATTGCTAATTATGAAACGTGCGATATAGTGTCCAAAAGGAAAGATAGCCACAAAAAGAACAAAAAAAAAGAAGAATTATTGAAATGCAACGACACTAACACATTCAGACAATTTAGGTTTGTTTTCTCAATCATTATCACTTGTCTTGTATCATGATAATAACTTTCAAATTCAAATTTGCCACAAATATTATTAATGAATGTTTAATAATCTTGTTTAACAAATTAATTGTAATGCTACGAATAATTATTTAGCGATTTATAGTGGTTTATAAATTTCTAAGACGTAGACATTGGGGGCGTAGAGGTTAGATTAGATTTTAATTAAATTTAATCAATTGTCAAAATTCGTATAACGAACTTTTTCATTGATAAATCGATGTGTCATTATGATTGTTTATATTGTTATTTATAACAAATTTTATTGTAGATTCATAGTTTTGACATTTTAACGCATTACAATGTTGAAGTCTCATCATATAAAGCCATTCATCTTGCAATTCTCCCAATAATTTATGTATGTATTTTTGTTTCAGATAATTATACAAATTTTTATTATTTTATAAGTATAACGTCAGAAGTGAGAACATAATACATACAGAAAGAACTATACATACACAAATATTTAGAAATGGGTGAGTATTTTGTGAAATATTTTGTTGTATTAAAATTGGAAGTATAGCTCCTATGATTATTCACATCATGAATTCTTAATTCAGATGATCTGGAGGAAGAATGTGAAAAGATGTTAACAGAAACATGTGAAATGAGAAAAAAATACTCATTGCGCTGTACGAAAGAACTCGAGAAGTATATCAAACTCACTAATGAGATATATGTAGGTATTCTTTATAGATTCATTATTAATTAAATTCTTGGTTTATTTACTTAGTTTTACTTTCTTAATATTTGATTTATATATTTAATATTTTGTTACAGATGACAAAAGTTATTACAACTTCAGTAATGATGGATGTGTCTTCTTTAACAAGTGAACAATGTACAATGTTTGAAAAGAATTTAATTGAAATGACTGAACTGCTAAAGATACAAGAACATAAATTGGAAGCAATGATAGACAAAATTGATAACTTAACAGCTGTTTATAATAAAATTAAAAAAGAAAAGTTCTGTGAAATAAATAAGTTACTGCAATGTTAAATGCATTTTTTCATTATAATATAATTTCTTATGTGTATATTACTGTACATAGTATATATCAATTATGTAAATATAAATTTACAAAATCAATTTTTTACACCATGATGCTAAATTACATAAAATAAATGTAATTTTTAAGAATTTTTCATGTTTTATTTCATATTACTAACAACAATGTAGAAATCACCTGTGTCAATAACTTGTGAATTTTCCCTTCTATTGTTTCCCTGGCAACAGTTGTTGCCTGATATCAAAACAATGCACGTGACAGATGTTTGATGTAGCCAGGAATAAAGCAAGGAATAATATTAAGCAACTTAAAATTTTTCAATAACGCGCTATGTCTACATTTATAGAAAATGTGTATATAAAAGATGGAGAGTACACGAAAACAATCTATTCTATGGTGTGTAGTACACATTATCGTTTGTGTATTACACAAGTTTGTGTATGCACAGACATACATATATACATTAAATTTTTTTCATTAAGATAAATCTAATTTTAAATTAACAAAAAGTCTATAAATAGGACAATGGTTTTGAGACACTTTATATAAATATATATTGCGATATTTTTGACGCAAAGAGAAATAAGTATAAATAAATTTTAATTTTGTTTTAGATAAGAGAACAACGATACATCGAAACTATAAAAGTTTTACTAAATCTCTTAGATTCTCATCCTAATGTATGTATGCTATATTATGATGGTGTGCATAATTTATATAAGCATTATTAAATAAATCATTCTTTTAGTCTAGACCTTGCTTATCGCTTCTGGCTCATTGTTACTTTTACACTCAAGATTTCATGGCTGTAGCACAATGTTACGAGAAGCTGGTCCAACTGTGCCCAGAGGAAAATCTATATAAACTCTACTATGCTCAGTCGCTGCATCAAGCTTGTATGTATCCGGAAGCGTGGACGGTTTGCTCGAGCATCATGAATCAGAGTAACTTGGAGTTCAAGGTAAAGAAGCTACAGGCAGCTATAAAGTACGGACAGGAAGATATGGTCATCGCTAAGAATCTCGTGGATCAATGTCCCGCCGATGATGTCGACACGGAAATCAACCTGGGTTGCCTCTTGTACAAGGTACATGACTTTATAAGCAGCCACAAGTGGTGCATGTATTTAAGTGACTGTGTTTTTACAGGAGGAGCAATATGAACAGGCTCTCAAGAAGTTTGCGAATGCATTACAAATCGCGGGATTCAGACCTCATCTGTCATACAATGTCGCCCTTTGTTACTATAAATTGAAAGAGTACGCTGCATCGCTGAAACATATTGGTACATGTTCATTATAGCAATTATCTTACTAATATAAGACGTAATTTTGTATTCTGTTTATTCATTTCAAATTACATTTTGTTGTGCTTCAGCTAGTATTATTGAGCACGGTATAAGAGAGCATCCTGAGTTAAGTGTGGGGATGACTACTGAGGGTATTGAAGTTCAAAGCGTTGGAAATACGTTGACACTGCACGAGACAGCTTTGACAGAGGCGTTCAACTTGAAAGCTGCCATAGAATATCAATTGCAAAATTGTAATTTTACATCGCTGCACTTTACAATTTTTAGAAAATAAATATGCTTCTTATGCTGCTTTTTATATTAACTGCAGATGATGCGGCGAAAGAGGCGTTAACAGACATGCCACCGCGTTCCGAAGAAGAATTGGACGCTGTTACTTTGCACAATCAGGCCTTGATAAACATGGATGTAAAACCAAACGAAGGATTCGAGAAGCTACAGTTTTTACTGCAGCAAAATCCATTCCCACCTGAGACTTTTGCCAATTTGTTACTTCTGTATTGTAAATATCAATATTATGACTTAGCTGCAGATGTTCTAGCCGAAAATGTGCACCTAACTTACAAATATCTGACACCAGTAAGTTGAATATTTTGATCACTGAATATTTCATTTGAATTTTGAAATAATATTGTTTAGGCTTATATTATATGTTATATACATACAAAAAGTTGTGTGTAGAATATTAGACCATTGTATTTGCGCAAAAAATTACTTGTCAATCAATCTGGGTGCTTAGTTTTCGAATGTTTGCACTTCTTTGTACGAATCTCACGATCTTCCGAATGTTTTCGCTTATGAGCCTTTACATCGTGGCTAGAAGAACTATTACAAGAGTCGCTACTTGAGCTGCTGCTGCTATGTTTTTTTCTGTGCTTCTTGCGTTCCTTGGAAGATTTCTTTTTTTTCTTTTTACTTCTCTCCTTTTCATCCATATCACTGTCATCTGCTGTAGATTGCTTGCTCTTTTTTGACTTTTTCTTCTTCTTTTTCAATTTATGCTTTTTTTCTATCTTCTTTTCTTTGTTCTCGCTGACTGGCTCCGGTATGCTCTCCTCCTCAATTTCAGGGATTAGTTCATATTTCTTTCCATCTGGAGGCATGAAACAATCCTTGGACATGTGTCCCTTAGTGCCGCATTTTGTGCATGTAGTATTGAGTACTGCCTCTAACTTTATAGCCTTCCGTTGAACTGTACCTAGAGTTTTCTTACGTTGAATGTCTTTCTGCAGCTCCACGCCATTAGGGTCCAAATCTGTGCCATTCCCTTGATTTACATGTTTCATAGAAAGTCCTATCTTGCCATCCTCTGCTACAGAGATCACTTTACACCAAACTCTCTCACCCTTTTGCAAAATCTCTGCAACATTGTCGACATGAGACGAGCTTATCTGTTGGAAATGATATCGAAATATGTTATATTACGTTATATACGTTATATAGAAATTTTAATATTTATCGAATCATTAAAACTAATAATACCTGTGTCCGGTGTATTAAGCCTTGTTGCGAGATACCTGGTATTCTGATAAAAGCTCCGTAATTTTGAACGGATACTATTTCGCCCAGAAATATTTGATTCAATTCGCACTTCGTCATATTATTTCGATCTTGAAAACTATAACATGTCATTAATCAATAACTCACGTTTCGAAAGGTACATAATGTCAATAGAAAAGAATGTTGCCATAGGTTAGGTTTCTACACAACAAATGTAAGACCGCATTTATACATCATTATATACATCACTGCACATCACCAGTCAAGGGTGCTAATATACATTGTTTATTATTTCTGGACAAAATATTTATTTTTTATTAACGAAATAATTAACTTATTGTTGAAGTTTTGTAATTTATATCAAACTCATAAAAAATATATAGTATATAATATAAAAATATAATATAGAGAGAATATAAATTGTTAAATTATACTTTGCAAGAAAAAAGTTATTTTAAAAAGATTCAAATCATAATTAAGAGATTAATTTTTAGTACATATTGTTTCTATTTATATTAATTATCTGAAATTTATATTTTTAGTATTTATACGATTTTTTGGACGCGCTGATAACGCAGCAGACTTCGCCGGAGGAAGCGTATCGCAAATTCGACGATCTTGCTAATAAGCATACAGAAGCATTGCGTAAAGCAACCAAGCAGGTGCAGGAAGCGAGATTGAATCACGACGACAATGCCGTCAAAAAGGCCGTAAACGATTACGAGGAGGCTCTTGATCGATACGTCCCTGTATTGATGGCGCAAGCGAAAATTTATTGGGATCTCGAAAATTACACCCAAGTAGAAAAGATTTTTAAGAAGAGCGTCGAGTTCTGCAACGAGCATGACGTGTGGAAGTTAAACGTTGCGCACACTCTTTTTATGCAGGAAAATAAATTCAAGGAGGCGACGCGTTTTTATGAGCCAATCGTCAAAAAGAAATATGATAACGTTAGTATGAAATGTATAAATGAATGAAAAAAAAGTTTATTTCTATGGTTTTCTACTACTCGATATTTGACATTTCTGATTGCAGATTTTAGATGTTAGTGCTATAGTTCTTGCGAACTTGTGCGTCAGCTATATTATGACTTCGCAAAATGCAGAAGCTGAGGAGCTAATGAAAAAAATCGAGAAAGAGGAAGAGGCGGTATCGTTCGAGGATCAAGACAAGAAACTTTTTCACTTGTGCATTGTAAATCTGGTAATTGGAACATTATATTGTTCCAAGGGTAATTATGAATTCGGCATATCGCGAGTGATGAAAAGCCTCGAGCCGTACAACAAGAAACTTGGCACCGATACTTGGTTTTATGCAAAGAGATGTTTCTTATCGCTCTTGGAACAACTGGCAAAACAACTGGTGGTCCTGAAAGATTCCACGCTGCAGGAATGCATCCAGTTCTTGGAACATTGCGAAGGTATTCTCATGAGAAAATTGTGTGCTATTCGCTATTAAAGCATAATGATGATATTCCATTTATCTTCTTGGCATTTCAGTTTATGGCAAGGACATAATGACAGTGATAGATCAACCGTTTGACATACAGGATATGCTTAATGTTTCTCCTCAGGGCAAACGAACAGTTATTTACGAGGCGCGATATCTCAAAGCGTTATTTTTAAAGCTACAAATGTCTTAGATATGCGTAATTTTATTTCTAAATATAGGAACAAAAAAAGTATATATAGAGTATATATGTATATATAGATATTATATCTTCCTTAACATTTTGTCAAATACTATTTCAATATTATTTTAAATAACTTATTAAACGTATTAAATTTATATAAGTTATTATATAAGTATAAATTTATATACAATTCCAAACACTTCTACCTACAGTATTATATCTGCGTTTGAATTTATTGTCAAGAGGGAGGGTGTAAAACTAACGCCTTGATCAAAATAGAAGTAAAACACTGAATTTTTTTTATTGTTTCTTTTTATTTGCTACCATTGCGTTCAAAGATTACAGTATCGCTATCTAGTGGTTGAATGCCATAAACATTTGTTCTTTAATGCTCATGCTCCGCGCGAAGCGCGACTATCGCGGTTTCGCAACAGTGCATCATGTTTGACTTCTTCATTTTCAATTCCAATGACATTCTTGCACTTTCCAGCACTTTCCTCGGGGAATGTATAGGTCCGAAAATCGTCAATCATCGTTAGTCATCGGTTGCTATCGCCGCGCGAGAATATATAAAGGGGATACACACGTGTCTGCCTCATTAGTGCATAACATATGTGGCCATCGTGTGAAGTCGGTCGGTGTGAAGTTAAATACCCTTTTTGACATTATTCGAAAATTCTAATAACGTCTGCGAAACCTACGTACGTTATTTATGGGATATCTTCGACAATTTATATTTAGCAAGAAGGAGGAAGATCACGCAATATCTACTTCTCGTGAGGTCTTCGTAAGCTTTTCAATTTAGCTGAGTCAAGGTGCGTCACTAAAATTCATTACGATAATTGCATTGTTTCCTCGCGCCTTTTATCTCACGTAATTTAACTTTGTATATAAAGTACACGCATTATCGCAGTAATTAAATTATTGGACGCAATAATGGATTTAAAATGGAATCTTTGAGACAATTTGTAAAATCTCCTTTCTTTGTGTTTTGCAAGAAAATATTTTAATTAATATTAACAAATGAGAGTTGCAAGAAAGGCAGTTATTATATTACGAAACGTAATTATTTTAAAACAAGAAACTGGATATTGAGAATGTTCTAAATTAGTTCTGATTCATTGGAATATAAATGTCTGAAACTTGTCATTCTATAGTCAATCTAATTTGTCAGTAAAATATATCAAATATTTGTATTTTTAAAGAAGATAGGTTACTGTAAAATAATGATTTATTTTGATTTTGCAGAAGTCTGATAAAAAGAGTTATAACACAATCGGAATGGAGTTTCCAAATTTGGGAGAGCATTGCTCTGAGAACACTTGTAATCGCTTGGATTTCTTACCTTTAAAATGCGATGCTTGTGAAGGAATTTTTTGCACGGATCATATAACATATATAAGTCACAACTGTCCTAGTGCACATAAAAAGGATGTACAGGTGCCAGTGTGTCCATTATGCAATGTTCCTATACCAGTAAAACGTGGCGATCCACCTGATCTGACCGTGGGATTGCACATAGATAACGATTGTAGAGAAAATCGTAGGAAAATTTTCTCCAACAAGTGTTCCTCCAAGGGATGCAAGGTCAAGGAAATGGTACCAGTGAAGTGCAGTGAATGCAGTGCTAATTTCTGCTTAAAGCACAGGCATCCCACTGATCATGCTTGCATCGGAGCAGAAGAAGCATTGAGATTACGTAGACTGGAAGCACTTAACAAAAAAGCCCAGACGACAATATCGCAGAATAACAGTAACAGTAATTCACATTCGTTCCGAAGCCTTCAAGGAACAATGAGTGAAGATGAAGCATTAGCCAGAGCTCTCCAAGCTTCTTTAGAGGATGAAGAGAGAAGTAGACGGGTATTACAACCAGTGCCTTCTGGAAATCGAGACAGGTGTAGACTGTCATAACTATCTAAACATTATTTTATACTATTATAGATAAAAATCTTCCTCATTTCCTGAAAATCTATCAACGTAAAAATATATTAGAATTCATTTTTAAAGAATGCACACAGACTTGAAAACATATGCAGCAAAAGTTTTAAACTTACACAATTATATTTTTGTTATATTTTTCTTTGTGTTATTATATTGCTATTATAGTTATAAAAATGCTGTTATATAATATGTACATAAATTGCAACATATTTATAAAATTGCTCACTTATGCACATAATATCGTAAGAAATTTCAATGATAAGATCACTTCACGTAACATCCAATATATTATATTTTAAAATATTTAAACTGTACTCATTTTATTATACCATTTAAAGAACATTTGTCTATTATATTAAATTTTATATTAAGTTGCAAGTACAAATCTTTCATAATTTAATATTTTTTTTATATTATAAATAGAGATTATTGTATTTAATATAAAACTTGGCTTTTACAGCCAGAAAATTATACTCTGCTGAGCTATCGTAACAATTTTGATAACGTATTATAAGATAAAGCTTCAGCATAGAGTGCCTTATTAGTGCTTAGTAGAGGAAATATAATCTACATTAGAATAATGCGCTCGAAAGAAATCTCTTCACTTTTATGATAAAAATACACAAAAATATCGAAATTATTTAAATTCACGCCTTTTGAACACAACAGCTCTTTCTATAGATTTTTACATAATATAAAAATATATTCTCCGATTTAAAAATTCGAACTTAAAACTTGGTATTTTCAACACAATTAAATTATTAAATACGAATTTTATTATGATAAATGTAAACGCAAGAAAATGTTTTGTTGTACGATTATTGTAATTATTATAATAAGATTATCATTTTATATGTGTTTCTCGTCAATCGATTTTTTCCAAATAATATAAAATATGCGTTATTAAATTTTTAATGCAATATCAAAATCTGTGATGGCAAGAAAAGAATCATGTATTCCTCATCGTACAATATTTAGGAATCATTGTACGATATTTAGATGATTCATATTAAATATCTTAAGTAAAATAGAAATCATATTTGAACATATCACAGTCACATCACAGACTTATAAAAAGTTTTCACAATGTCATCAAAACTAAGGGATAAACATGAATTTACTTTACTTAAATAAGCTTTACACCCAAGATATTGCATTAATATGATAACAAAACTGATATTCGTAAATTCTGTGATAACTTACACACAACTGTCGTATTTTTATAAATATACATAATTTTACAATGTACACTCTCATTGTCAGTTCCCTTTAGCTTATTTGATTCCTCGAAAAGTGTACAATCACTTTCCTTTTAGAGAAATGGATAATATAAAATACAGATTTTTTAAATAAAGTTAAAAATAGATAAATATCGATAAATATCTTATAATATGTATGAATACATTAACAATTAAAAAATACAGCCGATACGTGTGCTTGCCATTACACATTTATACTTATCAACGAATATGCTTTTAATATTAAAAGGACTCTAAAATAATATACAATGTAAATAGAAATACGCTTTTTTATCACTCTAAGATTTGTTAATATTGTTATATTGTATCATATCAAAATTACTGGAAAGCAAGAAATATTGATTACCTCATTATTTTTTCCTACACAGCCATAATTTATGTTTCAGATACTTCCTTTCAGAACATAAACGATATTGTGATATTTTCATTCTTGTAAAAAACACTTTAATTCACGAACACATTGCCTTCCAGTATTTCTGATAAATCTCAAAAATTCAAAATATGTAAGAAAAGGTAGTTTATTACATTCCCATGTTCATGTATCTTATACGTATTGCAGTAATTTATATATATTTAATGAATTCTGATATTATAATATAAATAAAAAATATACAACTATTCCATTGATATAAAATTATATAATTATTTAATAAAACGGTTAACTTTATTGTATATATATCCCTAAATGCAATGTATTCAAATCAAACATATAAGTGAAATATATAATAAAAATAACAAGCAGATAAAAAGAACTTCAGATATGAATAAGTTCATTTACACAGATTTTTACAAAAGCTCATTTATTGAAATTATATACAATTATATACAATTTGGGAATTTTTTTTTATTCTGGTGTCTCATATAAAATTTTGTCTTAACAATTACATTATAATAGTGTATATAACATTTCCAACTTTTTTTAAATAATACGAGATATGCATTGTATTTATAAATAATTGTATATACAATAACTCTCTTCATGAAGTGTTTAGTGATTGGAGGCAGTATTTTTTTTCTTTTTTTTTCTTTTGTTTTGACGTACTGTCAGGGTTTCGGTTACTATTTAGAAATATTAAAATTACATATGCATATGCATTTTTCAATATAAATTAATTTGAAATAGCCAAAAAAATGATAAAGAATTAAATTAGTTTTTTAGCAATATGAACTTCGCTTATATTTTATTTTTTTGAAAAAGCGTATTTTTTAGTATATAATCAGTATGTGGATTATTTAAATATTAATATAAAAAGCAACTCGAAACATGAAAAAAATTTTATATAAAAATTTAACATCACCGATTTTTAAATAAAATTAATGAGATTATATCTATGAATATTTATTGCTTTTGCTACTTTGTATTGTACGTGTGTATTTTGATGTGATATAATAACTTATTATTCTAATGTTTTTAGTCTATTTGTGCTTATACAAGTTACTAAGAGAATTTTTGTTTGCACAAATTGAGTATTATTTGTTACGTAACTTATATAAAATATCGATTCTGTGTAGTGAGAAAAAATGTTACACTATTCCTTTGCAAAATCGATATATTCGCAGACTTGGCACAAGCTAACAAAGTAGAAATAAATTAACACTCATTATACAATGATGAAATCTCGTTTACATAAACGAGTTTCATGATTTCATCTTAGATGTTGCTTCGAATATGTGATAAGTATTTTCCTAATTTCATACAATCTACGCTTGTTTCAGACATACGTGTCTCTGTAATATATAACATGCAAGAACAGTTTATTTACCAACTTTTCCTAATTTAGTATCCGTTTTCGGATTAGCTGTTATATTCTGCACAGCGACTATTGTTTCGTTAATCTTTGTCTGGAGATTCCTGAGATCCTGAATGTACAACAAAGAAAGTCCTTTGACGGCATTGTCCAGCATTGCATCACCCATATTAAAACTAGATTCTACAGTCATCGCCGTCAAAGGTTTACCCTTGGTGATTACAGTATTATTGGACTGCTTGATCGCATCTGGATTCAACTTGTTACACACCAGTTTGCTGCATGCTTGTAATGTCACAAGATGGTCAGGATGTTGTGGAATTTTTAATAATTTTGCTAATGAGCTAACACCAGCCTTAAAACTGTCACTATCAACTGAAAATAACATAAATGTAAGATTTAAGTTATTTTTCTACACATTCTTATACAAAATATTGTAAATTGCAATATACTTACAATCTAAATTATCTAAAGGATTTGTAGATTTGACACTAGGTATGTTTATTTCTTTCTTAGCCTTTGCTTTGCTCCCTACGACTTGCTGATATTTTTGACCTAATAAAATAAATTATGTGTATTTTATTAATATATTTTTATAATATATCAATGCATATTGATTAGTTAAATACTTGTCGAATTTATATTAACAAATTTTATTGTAATTATAGTGTAAGTATTACAGTAAGAAAAGAGTTATAAATTCATATTATTCAAAATATATTTTACTTACGATCATCTTCAAACTCTAGCCAAATAGTGTAGCCTATGAACCATTCTAATAGATCAGCCTCATTCTTACTGGTTATTGGGCAATTGAGATCATTGCAATATTTCTCGAAAGCTTCTAGCCATTCTGGGGAATTGATATCCCTTAATTGCTTGCGGTCTTCTATTTTGTAATAACGTATCTTCTGATCTTCTAACCATACAATCACTTTCCTAAAATGTTGAGTATCTGAAATATTGAATTGCATTCTTATTACTGTAATATTTCTCAAGAAACCTGTTGTCAATTCCATAAATTCCAGAAACACATGTCTGCAGTAATTATAATTATAACAATCGAAGTATTAATTTAATGTTTAACCATGTCACTGGTTATGAAAAAATGAAAAATAAAATATTAAAAGTGAAAGCAAAATATTGAAGTAAATGTCATTTGTAAAGTAATACAGTTGAGAGAGTTTTGTATATATAGATATTAATAAAATAATATATGCAAGGATCGAAGTATAGTTGCGACATGTCGCATAGAGGTTACGACATGTGTTAGACATTACTTACTACTTCCGTTGACTTTATTCCATTCCACGTAACCAAGCGCCTTCAGCTTTCTTTCAAACATATTAATTGTTTACGTAGAGATCAATAAACGCACTACCCTCAATAACAACAATTTTTAACGTAATATGCAGAACGTCACGAAAGCCGTATAAAAAAGAGAAAGAGGAGAGCAAGAGAGAAAGCAAGAAGACGTTACTGTGTCATTTATTCATTATGTTATATCCAGGCGAATTGGCATAAAGGCAGAATGCTTACTGATAAGAAAATCGATTAATTACACGTCTAAATTTTTACTGTATGTCTAAATTATAACTAATCGATTTTCTTATGCATTTGACGCTATGTGAATATAAGAAATAACAAAGAATTGTAAGACGTCTGAGATACGCTGATTGGCTGCTAAAATTTTACTGATTCACTATTTGATGGCACCGGATCGACTTAAACTTTATTCATATGACTATAAGCAAAAGATTGCTTTTACGAACCGATTTGAGGATCACAAAAGTGAAACGCCTCTATCGGAATAGAAGTAAAACACGGAATCGTTGTTTTCACAATTCGGTCAATTACAGAGACAATTACAGAGAAAAACGCATAACAATTATAATATTCTTATTTAGAAAAAATATATACAATTTAGGCGGTCTATTCTGTAAGTTTTAACGATGTCGAACGATGTTTAATGATTAACGAAGAGAGTGCCACGCGATCGGAACACGCTCATCTATCTTTCGTGCAATCTCTGCGTATCATTTCGCGAGGTGAGTTGCGCGTGCAACGTGCGCAAACGGCATTCGTATCCAGGATCGCGCAGAGAGGCGAGAGGTGAGAAAGAGAGTGAGAGAGAGTGAGTGGGGCAGCGGATGACAATGATGGCCGCCACCAGCGATGAACGGTGTGTTATGGAGCCTGAGAGAACGAATTCGGGGCAGAGTCAGCCTATGGACCGGCTGAAGCTGCTCTATCCGATGGTGAACGAGGAAGAGACACCGCTGCCGCGTGCCTGGAGCGCCAAAGACAAGTACACCTACATAGGCCTGTCGCAAAACAATCTTCGCGTTCACTACAAAGGTACGTGGGTAGTCCATCGCGCGCGACCTCCGTGCGAGAGGTGCGATGCGCTCGCGGTTGCGTGCGTGCGTTCCGCGCGATTTTACGCGTTCGTGACGACCTGTCATGGGTCCCGGGCTCCGTGATCGCTTCGTGCCTGAATCCGCGCCGCGATCGGGCTGCTCCCGGGGCAGGGACGGGTATCGATTGAAAATGGCAGGGCTCTCTTCGCGTGTGTCAGCGACCTAAACAAAGGAATCAGCTGATCAGTCAGCCAGTCCCCGCGGTCGGGCCTTTTACGCGTCTCTCGTCCTCGACGCGACGCGGGCTGACTTGTTGGGACAGAGCCGCGTCCGTTCCTCGATTCGATTCACGCAGAGCCCCGCGACCT